CCCAAAGGCGCCGTGTCCATGATTACGCCATTTAATTTCCCTCTCAACCTCGCCGCTCATAAGATAGCTCCTGCGATTGCTGTTGGGTGTCCATTTGTACTGAAGCCGGCCAGTGCCACTCCGTTGGGCTCATTGATAATAGGCGAGGTTCTTGCTGAGTGCTCGGACCTTCCCAAAGAGGCCTTCTCTATAATACCCTGCTCGAGGCAAGGTAGTAGTAGTGTGAGATGCAGCGAACTTGGGAGATGGTGATGCCCTCTAGATGGAGACCCTCTTACGACTGACGACCGATTCAAGTTGCTCTCGTTTACTGGCAGTCCAAGTGTTGGATGGGATATGAAGTCGAGGGTAGTTTTCTGTGTTTAGCCTTGGACAGGTGTGCTCTATGTGTTAGGCTGGCAAGAAAGGGGTAGTGCTTGAGCTTGGCGGTAATGCTGCTGGTATAGTAGACTGTATACCACATGAAGGGCTAGCGTACCTCATGGATCGCATAGCTTTTGGGGCCTTCTATCAAAGTGGACAGAGTTGTATATCTACACAGAGGCTCTATGTTCGAAAGGACATATACGATAAGGTGGGGGAGGCTACCGCCGGAGGAGATGATCGGTATTTCTCTGAGTCAGGTAGTGAATGCTCTAGTCGCAAAGGTGAAGTCCTTGCGTATGGGCGATCCGAAGGACGAGAACACGTTCATAGGCCCTATGATAGCAGAGAGAGAGGCTAGCAGGCTAGAGAGTGTTGTTGAGGGCGCGATAAGGGCAGGTTGTACTGTTCTGTGCGGCGGAGGCCGAAATGGATCTATGTTCGAGCCTACGCTGCTGGCCGACGTGCCTGTCGAGACTGACGCTTGGCGGGAGGAGGCATTCGGGCCACTCTTGTGTGTTGCCAGCTTTGATAATTTTGAGGAGGTTGTGGAGAGGGCCAATGATTCCAAGTAATGCAACATACTAGTGGCTCTGGGGTGGTGGTTGGTATTATACCAATGTTATAGGTATGGCATCCACGTTGGTCTTTTCACCAACGATTTGAATAAAGCTTTCTACGCCTGGAACAACCTGGAGTCGGGCGGGTTGGTTGTGAACGACGTCCCGAGTCTCAGGGTCGATTCAATGCCGTAAGTAGACTACGCTATAGTTGTGGTACAGCTAAGTACAGCGGTTTCTTGCGGTACGTGACTAAGCCGATGGCTTTAGACCGTTACCAGGCTGCACTTCGTGGTAAGCCGTTATAATCAAGTGCGGCGGGGTAAAGGACTCCGGCATTGGTCGTGAAGGTGTTAAGTATGCTATGGAGGACATGAGCGAAATCCGCACTATGCTCATCAAGAACGTCGGCTTAGCCGACAGGCTTTAACGAAAAACATTGGGCGGTCATTATTTTCAGAGAATCTCTTTAAAGCTTTGAGGGTGCTCGGAGCATCTCGCTTTCAGATTTACACCGCCGCGCACACAGTGCGTTGCTTTTCTCCCGCTTCATCCACTTTTCTGTTTTTGTTCATGCATATAGCGTGACAGATAGTTGATCTCGTTACGACTAGTAATAGGATATATAGCGAGAGTTGGAGTTTTTCACCTCATTGAGACCAATAGTCTCGGACCATCATGGCATTGAGTTCTGCAGTCGGGGAGCGCAATTCCAACAATTATGGAGGCGTTTCCCGATTTCTTTCAGTTGTGGAGGAGGTGATTGTTCTACGGGTCTGATCCGGCAGGTCTAGTTCATAGTGACAGTGGCGACAGAAGCTACAGTGTAGCTGCTACACCCACCTTGCTATACATTAAGTCGCGACGCAGCGATTTGGTGAAACTGCGGACTTTTTGGAGGAGAACCGTCTTCCGAGAACGTAGGTGCTTTACATCTGCCCTAACGTTGGGTGAGAATGAAGCTCAGCTCACGGAGCGGATCTGAGACAAATCGTGGTCTCGGTTTAGCCCGAGTTTCATCACCGAGAAGTCTCCGCAATACTAATTTGGAGGATCTCTTGTGGGAGATGCCGGAGACAGGTGCGAAAAACGAACGCGGTCGACAAACGCTGTATCGCGAATTGAAGAACGAATTTTTCGCATTCAATTCAATTTTTTCCGGTCCTTTTGGGCCCAGGAGAGCCTCGAAGTGGGACGCAGCGGGCCACAAACCGTACATTAATATTCTAGGCCCAACTTGGGACTCCCAAGCCAGTGGTCTGACCATGAGGGGCGAGTAGTCGAAGCGTTCACGCTGATGCTGAACACCAGCTGATGATGCCTTCAGGACCTCCAAGGAAGGCAGCATCAGCGGTCACCGCTGTGCGGTGGTTGCTGACGGGGAGACTACTACTTGGACGACTACCACCGGAGATACATCTAGTAGGTGTCAGCTACCGAAGAGACTACTAGGGGAGCTCTAACCTTGGAGATCTCGATAAAGATATCTTCGACGTGAAGATGTCAGGGTTAGGGTCAGCAGTCAGTTCGTTGATTTTTCTGTTGGGTGGAGCGGATGAGGAATGACGGAGCTGCCCAGTGTTTGAAGGTACATGCGCATGCCACTTCACTCCATTGAACGCCCAACGCCTGACTCCCACTCCGCCGTACCTCGACAACGAGCGGTTTTCAGCTCTCGTTACTCACGAGTCGTAAGCTCAACCTGCAGGTTTTTACGGGTCTACCTTGTTTTTTCTGGTCATCTAGATGATCCTCCACACTCGATGTCCGTTGCCCTGACCGTGATTGCAACTTGTGAGCGATGGATCTTCATCGAGCTGAGCTTGGAGCTTAGGACCTTGACAAACTCCTAAACTGGTGGACACTGTGCGGTTAAATGTCTAGCAGCCAGACCTTGGCTGATCCAGGAGCGATACCATTGTCTTCTTCCAGTAACTTATTTCCAGGCCGGTCGTGACTTCAGAGCTGCTGATCCACGCCTCCTCTCTCAACTTCCTCTCTATGTTGCAGAAGTTCTGCAGCAGAACGGGTCCTCTTGGACTTGCTCCTAGACCGACAGGGCTCTGCTCTCACTCATCCGAAACTCGGATGTGTGTTAGTGAACTGAGCCTTCGGATTGCTGAGAGTTTCTTCGCTGCTGTACGGCTCATATGGGTGTCTGCTCAGAGGTGTCTTGAACCAGAATTGCGTTGTCAGGGCCCTCCTCAGTCTCGGAGGGAGTTCCCTCACATTTGGGAAGTGGTGGTTAGTTGATAGGAGGGCGTGGTAGTACTGTCTACCTACAAGTCGTGTCCGCTGTTCAGTTGCCTTCACTGTCCTCCATGCAGAGGGTTGTACCAGCTCTGGGTGGTCGGAAGGCTCTATGGTCGGCCGTTCGTATGTTCTCTTCGCGGAAGATAGTTCCAGCATGGCCCTACTATCTCGCTGGGGAAGCAGTGTGATAGCAGATGGCTGCGGGCCCCCCTGAGCGACTGGTCTTAGATACTCTAATACCGATCTTGAGGTTACCGATAAGTACAGCGGCGCAGTGGTGTGTCGCGTGGCGTTGGCCAAGCCTCCGGAAGTAGAACGAGCTATAGCTGCGGCTCATGGAGCTGAGAAGACGATGGCTGCGCTCCCGGCATTTCAGCGAAAAAGAATCCTCCAGCATTGCGTGGAAAGGTGGGAGTGTTGGAAGTGTGGATGATGCGGAGAGGTGAACAATGAGGATAGGTTCCGAGACAGAGCTGAGGAGCTGGCCTATTGTCTGTGTGTGGAGGCTGGTAAACCTATTGTGGATTCTCGCGTGGAGGTGAGACGTGGTGGGAAGAGGGTCTCTATTCCATTTTAGTGTTCGTGGAGTATATTATTGAGGGTTTCAGCATGATACTTGATGGCAACAACAGTGAGGCTGGGCTGACCCAACGATCTTTCGGTTGATAGCTTTTCGGTCTACCCATTGAGCTAGTTGTAGTTCTTCGATGAAAATATGGCAGAACTTAGTCCTTCATTTGGAGGGGATACCTTGCGAATTCCATCACTCACTCTCCCAGCTGCTGCAGGTCTTGCGTCTCATCGACACCTTCGCCATTGCCGCTGAGGAGGCGACTCGCATTAACGGCGAGTGGAGTAGCATGGAGATTTCCGAGAGATATCGAGGCCTCCAGCAAATCTATAAGCGAGTCCCCAAAGGCGCCGTGTCCATGATTGCTCCCTTCAATTTCCCTCTCAACCTCGCCGCTCATAAAATAGCTCCTGCGATTGCTGTTGGGTGTCCATTTGTACTGAAGCCGGCCAGTGCCACTCCGTTGGGCTCATTGATAATAGGCGAGGTTCTTGCTGAGTGCTCGGACCTTCCCAAAGAGGCCTTCTCTATAATACCCTGCTCGAGGCAAGGTAGTAGTAGTGTGAGATGCAGCGAACTTGGGAGATGGTGATGCCCTCTAGATGGAGACCCTCTTACGACTGACGACCGATTCAAGTTGCTCTCGTTTACTGGCAGTCCGAGTGTTGGATGGGATATGAAGTCGAGGGTAGCTTTCTGTGTTTAGCCTTGGACAGGTGTGCTCTATGTGTTAGGCTGGCAAGAAAGGGGTAGTGCTCGAGCTTGGCGGTAATGCTGCTGGTATAGTAGACTGTATACCATACGAAGGGCTAGAGTACCTCATGGATCGCATAGCCTTTGGGGCCTTCTATCAAAGTGGACAGAGTTGCATATCTACACAGAGGCTCTATGTTCGAAAGGACATATACGATAAGGTGGGGGAGGCTACCGCCGGAGGAGATGATCGGTATTTCTCTGAGTCAGGTAGTGAATGCTCTAGTCGCAAAGGTGAAGTCCTTGCGTATGGGTGATCCGAAGGACGAGAACACGTTCATAGGCCCTATGATAGCAGAGAGAGAGGCTAGCAGGCTAGAGAGTGCTGTTGAGGGCGCGATAAGGGCGGGCTCCACTCTTTTGTGCGGCGGAGGCCGAAATGGATCTATGTTCGAGCCTACACTGCTGGCCGACGTGCCTATCGAGAGTGACGCTTGGCGGGAGGAGGCATTCGGGCCACTCTTGTGTGTTGCCAGCTTTGATAATTTTGAGGAGGTTGTGGAGAGAGCCAATGATTCCAAGTAAGGGAACATACTAGTGGCTCCGGGGTGGTGGTTGGTATTATACCAATGTTATAGGTATGGCATCCACGTTGGCCTCTTCACCAACGATTTGAATAGAGCTTTCTACGCCTGGAACAACGTGGAGGCGGGCGGGTTGGTTGTGAACGACGTCCCGAGTATCAGGGTGGATTCAATGCCGTAAGTAGATTTCGATTTAGTTGTGGGACGGCTCGGTACAGTGGATCCACGCGTTACGTGACTTAGTCATGGTGACTAAGCCGTTCGGCGAACTCTGGGCTGGTACTTCGCAGTGAAAGCGACGTTCTTCGTTATAATCAGGTATGGCGGGGTTAAGGACTCCGGCACTGGTCGTGAAGGTGTTAAGTATGCTATGGAGGACATGAGCGAGATCCGCACTATGCTCATCAAGAACGTCGGCTTAGCCGATAGGCTTTAACGAAGAGCACTGCGCTGTCATTATGGAGTGGTTTCTCCGTGGTTATCAGTTGTGTGGGAGCTGATTCTCTATTGACCTAGTTCAGTAGATTAAGTTTATGAGGGTAATGGCGACAGAAGCCACGGCGACTGTACTACACATTGGGTCGCGGAGGCGTAGCGGCTGGATAAGGCGGGAGTGATTTAAAAAAATTTGATCTCCCACAGGCTGTCAAGATGCTAGAGATGGGCGTCACTATCAGGTTCTTGAGGGAGGAGTTGTTCAAGACTTTTGGATCAGGTTGGTCGTAGAATTTTGGATGGTAGGCTGGTGAATCCGTCCAGTGCCATTCTGTTGCCATACATGCGCCTTCGACCGGATGTCCGCTCGTGCTCACGCCAGTGATGGCGGCTATCAGACGCCCATTTCAGGTCGGGCCGGCGCCGAGAGACTCGCTCTTGATGCGTCGAGATGCTGTTGGAGAGGTATGACTGTTTCTAGGCTGACAGTCGGGGCGGGGGTACCGTCTCCATAGTGATTGTCTTCGCCACCATATTGCGGTGCTGCTGCCTTTAACAGCTGTGAATACTGTGAGCACAGTCAACCTCCTCACAACACGTTCCACGCACCAAGAGATCCCGGCGTCGCTGAAGGGAGAATTGTTATTGCTCGAGTGTTGATAACACTCGAGAAAAATAACACTGTGTTATTTTCGAGCGTACCGATAGAGCTCGTAGGGTGATAGGCCGGAAGGTGATTGTCAGAAATCCAAGCCTTGGATTCGTGTTACGTGCTCTACAGACTTAGGACGTTGTTTTAAGTACTTTAACAGTTGAGCTTTTGTGTTATCAATGAACGTGTAAGGGAAGGCTAAGCGGCTCTGGAAGACATAGCACAACATGGTGGGGCCTCCTACAGTCGTGTATGGAGATAGGCGCACCGAATATGGTAGGAGGCCATGGGTAGTTACACTATGTAACCGTTGTAGAAAGTAGGGGTGATGCGTTATGGCTTTGAAGGGGTTCACAGTAAGTTACTGTCAGTAACATATGGCATCGAACCTACTCAATAAAGGGGCGGGAGCAGGGGTTCTCTTGATAGGGACACATGTCCCTATCAACTATAATGGCTTCTTGCATGTATTGTGGAAAAAGAGTAATACTCGCCAAGTCATTGTGGATGCGCATAGGATGTGCCCGGGGCTGTTCGGCAAGAGCGCCATGACCAGCTGGCTCACCCTGGGCTGGCAGTGGGTAGTAATCGCTTTCACATGGACCGAGGACAGTGTTGGTGATAGGTGTTCCTGAAACAAGCGGAGGAGCAACTGCGAAAGCTGGCAGCAGCTTCGAGTAGTGAGGGACACTTTAGTATCCATGGCTGAGAAAAGTCAATGACATGGGATTGGCGACTTGCCATGAGCAGTGTGTCCAGATATGTTACGAGCGGAACCAACTTTATCAGCACTACCATTGACAGAGCCCATGCGGGAGCATGTCCGGATGGTGATGGAGGCAGCTGAGCGAGGTACCCGTGCCCGACGGTGCGCCGCCGAGGAGTTGATCATTCATCATCAGGCGATATATACCATCAATTGGAGTTCTATTCTATACCAGCAGCAAGAGTAGATCGAGCGTACTACATTGCAGGGACCACTGAGCCAGGTGGGTAGCGCCATCACTGTTGTATCGAATGAAGGAGCGTGTTCAGGACTTGGCCATCGAGGCTACTACCCCTTTGAAGACTCATTCAGGCTGTCGACGGAACCAGTTAGTAGTCATACGGAGCTCATGCAGCTGGCACGGGCTAAGGGTAGGGGAGATTGCGAGGGCAATGACAATGATGGTGGTCACAGGTCTCGTATTGCGTGTTCATGTTATAGTTAACGTTCGGCAGACCTATTGGGTGGAGGGCCGTAACGACGAGAAAGTGGGTTGGAAATGTCAATGATTGTTGCCGCATCACACTATAGGTCTTCGGCTCACGAGACTTTGTTGACCATAGAACGTTATCAGGGAAGGGCCTGGCCTCGCACTCCTTTGCTTTTGAGTGTGCCCTCGAGTAGGTGACGGCGGTGGGAATAGTAACCATGGTGTAACCCTCAGGGCGGAAGGCGTTCAGCAAATATCCGACGACGCGATCCCTCCAGGCATACCTCGAATGAAGCCCGTGTCAACTGGAACGAACCCTTGGAAAATTGCCGATGCGAATGGAGTGATTACCACTGGGGGAGTCTATTCGCAGTGGTAACGAAAGTTGTCTCGGATTTTGGAAGCCTTTTGACATCACTTTATTCCCTGTGTGATTGAGTTTCTCATTCTGGTGGCTTGCGCTGGTCAGTAGCATCTTGGGTCTGATGCTAACCATCGATTAAGAGAGAAAGGCTGGGCGCATGTTAGGAAGATAAGGGAGGGTTGAGAGATGCGTTGAGCTATATGTGCTTTGATATCGAGGAGCACTGGTGGTGTAGGTCGTCTCACAGGGTGACAACGAGGGGATTGCCGCAGTGCATGGATAGCAACAGTGTAACTGTTGCTGACTTGGCGACTATCACTGGGTTGTGTGCTTACAGTGCATACTCTATTCCCGATACGTAAGTACAGGCACTCCACGGTTCAAGCCTATAGTATATGCAACACGTATGTAGCTCAACCCGACTCATCTCAAACGGCCACGTATCATACGTGACGTATGGTGGGAGGTTAACAAGGTGGTAGGTTTTCGGGCGAGCGCTAATTAGCATGCATTATTTGGCAATTACACATGTTCACGAAAATCAATTTGTGCGGTGGAATCGCTTGGATTTGATTTTCCACGGAAGTTCGATTGGCATCATAGGAAGCACTTCTGTCGTGAACACCATAGTCAACTTCTCACTGACCGTACATACCAGTACAACCTTGACGACTTTAACAGGAAAGCAGAAGGAAACTCACTACCCCTTTCAAGGACATCGCATGGAACGCTGTCACTATCTTCTTATGCGAAATTGCAAAGTGGAAATATGATTCCAATTAGGACTGTGAATAATAATGTACAGGGATCAAACCAAGACCAAGCCTCAGGAGGAGGTTGAAGTCGTCTTGAACTCTCCCTTTTCGTCTAGTTGTTGTTCTCCTTGTTGATGCAGTGATAGCAATATGTCAGCCAAGTCCACCTTTGCTACTGTCTATGATGAGGCGGAGGAGGAGACCATACCAGAGATGAAAAGTAATACCCGCAGACGATCTCGATTCGGATCGAGTGGTGACACTCGGGTGCTCGGTGTCACCGTCGGCTAAGACTATTGGTGCAGGTTTTTACATTTCATTACCGAAGCATGGTTACCAAGTAGTGAACGAAGCTGATGAACTGAACGCCATCAATGTCGATGCTCTGATGGAAGGATTCCTACGGGGAGGCCTTGTGAAGGAGTGGCAGTTGCAAGCTGGTGCTAGGCAGTTCGAGGAGACACCCTGGCGCAAGTAGTAACCAACCGTTACAGTTTTCTTTGAAGACGTTTTCCCTGGTCAGGTTCATGAGCGATGAAGACTCGTCAGATAAGATTCTGTGCAAAAGGGTGAACATGGTGATGCCCATCCCGAAGCTGCCTATGTAGTACTATTCTTTCGATCGTAATTACAGCGGAGCGATGATCAGGTGCGCTGACGAGAGTCGTGTTATTGTGTACTACTGGTTGCGTTTGGAGGACGACGGTTCCATTCGGCTCGAGAGTTTATCGCAAAGTCTGGATGCTCCCTTCTGTAGTGTCGTCGTCTGTGTTGTTCGTGGCTGTTATTGGCGCTTCTCTTCAGGCACTCATTTTACTAACGCTGAACGCGCCGTCTTTCGCGATAGTAAGGATGAAAATGGCAAGGATTGTGTTATCATGTAATTCTCCTATTTGACTGCGGTGGTATTTTGTTTTATTTGGTAGGAAAAAGGAGTGTGGGTGTAACTTCGTGAAGTTCATGATGATGAAGTCACAAGTCACTAAGAGTGTAATAATCCCGCACTACGTGGTCTAATAGGAGGATGCTGATCAGGTTGCGAGTTCGAGTGCTGCGGGAACTGAATTCCTCGAGAAAGCAGTAGTGAAGATAATGCGGGCCTAAAAACGACTATATAGTGCAGTTGTTGACTGTTGAATTTCCTGAGCTGCAATAGTTACTCTGAGTGAGTTTCTTTGGTGATTCCCTTATGCCTTGCGTGTTACGTTTACTACACGCTTTCTCGCGCATTTCCGCTCATTGGTTTTAGATGTCGGTTAATTTGTCATCAATGTCCACAGAGGATCCCTTCGATGGTGGTAATGTGGCGGCCCTTCTGATGGTAGAAGGTCGGGAGTGTCGTTGTGAGCAGGTACACAGGAAAACGCACCACGCAGTGCTCCTATAGGCAAGAGCAGCTCGTTGAAGGATAGTTTTCAAGCTGGAGTCACTCGGAATGTCCTCGCCAATGCTGGCAATTCTGTGGTAATGTTATAGTGTCGGCACGGGTTCGTCTTTGAGAGCTAATCATCAGTTTATAGGGTTTCTCGTGATGGAGTGGTATGGATGATCTAATAAATTCTCTTCAGTTGAGTGGCGCTCGCGGTGTTGGCAACTACGTCGCTCACAATCCTATGCGTTTGAAGGTGGGTCGCGAGTCGTTGACAGCAGTCGCATCCACGAGGTTATGTACAGATTTTTTCGTTTGTGGGCTCCCTGGCGGTATTAACAATCTCGATAGTGTCGTTCCTCAATGTATTCAATGTGGCATCACCAGCTCTATATGTTATGAACGCGTAATACACTAGGAGGTGGAGAAGGAGTGGTAGGAGCTCTCTGTGCAGGTATATGATGATATTCGCCTTTGTGCTCGCTGTGGCAGAGTCTAACGCTTCGTGGCCGGGAGTAACACAGTGTTTGCGAAGGTGTATCGATCTCATGCTCTTGCTCAGGTGGAAAAGCTGCAGAATGTTATTTACGAGCAATTTGGATTTTTGAAGAACAACTTGGGCCGTGGAATCTTCCTGGTGAGTGAAGCTCTTCGTAGGCTGCCAAAAATGCGTTCAATTTCGTCATCGTGATTGTGAAAAGGATGGAAGTAACTCCAGCATGCTGTAGTTATTTTCCTTCTATGTTACCTTGTGCGCAACAATAGCGGTTGGGGATGTGTAGTTTCCTTCTATTTTAGATTTTCATGGGCACGCTATGGATCTCGTCATGGACTTTCTGGCTTGGATTCGTCGGCCTGTAAGTCAATGCGAATGTCCAGCTTCCCTCGATGGTCCTCTTGTCACTATTTTCAGGTATCTCTGCTGTGTCGGGATCGGGTACATAGTGATTCACTTCTTACACCACACTACCGAGGAAAGCTCACAGCATGTGAACTTCGATATGGAGGAGTTTCCAACCGATAGAGTTTGATAACAACATTCACTTCAACTTAGCACACTTGCAGTCTCACGTCATCGACTTGAGTTCATCAACCAAATGATGAGGGGTGGAGGCCAGCACTTCGTTTGTAGATTAAGTATGCATTTTTCCTCCCGCCGTGCCTGTGTGCTATCAGTGGCCCTCCTAGTGAGCTCTTGTTTCCAAGGTGCTGATGCGGAATGTGTATGTAAAAGTATACCCAATCGCCGGGAAACATCAGTGCAATCCTCTTTAGACGCCTTCAGTGCCGACCTCACAACAGTGTAGTGGTAATGGGCAGTGTGTGAGAGCTGCAGGTAGGCTAGCATGCTTGCTCGTCTCTGATGATGAGGAGTGTCTGTTTGTCGTATAGTATCGGCCGAGAACACCGAGCATGATATTTCGGAAGCATCATTCACTTGCCGATGCTATGACGGGTTTTTTGGTGTTAACTGTGAGGAGTTGGACGAGCAAGCAGCCAAGCTTGCTGGCGAGAGTGATGGGTATCGAGTTGTGCGTCGGACGACGATTATCCACCATCGGTCCCCTTATGTGAGAAGACCACCGAGGTTGTATTAACTCTCATGGACTCGTTCAGATCTCGCACGGGTACGGGCCCGCGATAGTCCCCATGCCGATGGTCATTCCAGCGCCGGTCGCCCCGGCACCAGTTATAGTAATAGTCGTCGTTGCCATGGTTACCTTATTCGGTCTTTGTAGATCAGCGACCCCTATCCGTCTAGCACGGTGGTCTACAGCAATGGGGGCATCTCATTCTTCCCGATACTCATAATGTCCCTCATCGCTGTAATGCCTTCTTCCTTGGAGTATTCCAGGCAAGTCCTTTCCTATTCAGGTAGCCGTCGTCATCGCGATCACCGTCTGCTGTTGTGCAGCAGCTAATTCACAGGTATTGTTCTGTAGATGAATCTGCGTGTGTGATTGAGTATTTTCAGTCAACATCAAGCCAGTCTGTGGTATATTCGAACTCCAACGGCTACCAGCGTCCTTTTTTGGCGGACGAAGGGACTACTGTTACCGTAATTCGGCATCCTTTACGTTCACTTGGGCGCTATTGCTTAGCTTTACGTCAGGTGATCGAGGAAACGTATGATGATGGTAAGGGGCCTCAGACACGACAACAGCAGTCCAACGTCGTAAGTGCTACTGTTACTTTTGAATCAGTTCAGAGTGCCTCATCCTTTACAGGCCTATCCGACGCAAGTAACTGCACCAACTGGGCAGGTCATTTACCAACAGCCCGCAGCTTCTGGAGGATACCAGCCGAGTCGCTATGTTGTGAACCCGACTGGAGGACCTACAATGTACCAGAATGGACTACACCCACAAACTCAGGTGAAGAAAGGCTGAGGTGAACTCGGTGAAAGCTTGATAGGAAATATTCGTCAACTTCATCGGATTGCTCTTGCGGCTAGGTTGGATCGACTTTCAGGCGGCTCCGATGACTCAGCAAGCTCCTCCCGCATATCCCCAGCCGACAGCTCCGCCTGCTTATAATCCGGAACTGGTCAGGCAGTGACCAGAACCTGATACCATATTTCTCACAAAGGATCGAAGTCTATCCTATTGTTTCATCCTTCGTTTCGATGAGCTGACTCGACTGGCGTTTGAGTGGGGGAAGTTATACGAAGATAGCCGGTGTCTGATGGCTCACTTCGCAAAAAGCAGGGTATGCGGTGTGCCCTGCTAGCCCTTGACACCACTCGACGAGTGGCACTCGCAAGGTCCATCGCTCCTTGCGGCAAGCAGCACCGCAACATAGGCCTGCTGATAACGAGGCCTGTTACGAATCGAACTCTAGGTAACTTGTATTGAGAAGGAAAGTCGAGCAAGTCGAGCGATGAATACTTGAAGAGAACGGAATATGTAAAAGCATTATAGATGGGCAAAATTACGTTACGGACCGTTACGGCTTACTTCAACGAGTACGATTCAAGCCCCGTACCGTAAAATTACGGCGCCATAACGGGTCTTACGGAGAGGCAGAGGACAAAACGAGGATTGGCCATTCAAGTTGCCTAAATCTATTTCATGTGAATGCGCATGCGTAGACGAGGCCCGTTTGACAGTTCCGGGACAGCCTGGGAGTGAGACGGACGGAATTTGCAAGGGGGATGAGTGATAAAGGGGAAACAAATGTTACTCTCTCAGCGGTTCGGTTGGATCCGAGCCACAAGGAATCAGTTCAACAACTATTTGAGCTATCGTGGAGCGCAATACAGCGAATGTTTCCGCCACAATTCTGCAAAGGCAGTTCAGCACCGACCATGAAGTTACAAACCATTTCCGTAATCGTAAAGCTGCTTACGCTACGCACACCGTAACGAAATCCCGCTGCCCTCTATCTATCTATGAAATACATATATGAAAGTCGGAGCCTTTCGATGAAGTTGGGCACGACCACTACAGTGCCTCCAGTGAGTGCTCTCTATCGCCCGAAACCCAACAATACGATGGCGAGTCACCGATGAACAGAGGCTACCAATTGCTGGAGTGGTTCCCAGAGCCTCAAGAAGAATGCACTGAATGGATTACTTCGTCAGTCACTGACGGTCAGTGTAGTGCTTGGCTGGATGTACGAGTTACAACACCAACAACTGTGAGCGTTTATCTCGGAGTACTCTGAACGCAACGTGATACTTCGAACGTTCTCCTAACAGGAGTGAGATCACAGCATCCATGTATGTTGGGCATGCCTAACTCACGGTCGTGACTCACGGTACTGTGATCAGTTTAGCTCTCGACGGACCGACAGATTCTCGACCCCGCCACAGCCAAGTCGTCTGCATTATCAGATATAACTTCGTTGCATTCATCCTCGTGTGACGCGCCGCTCAAAGTAACATTCTCGGTGCCCATCCACCTAGAAACCATCGCAAATTTCGGATTGGATATCCCAAACGTTCGGTGTGTCCCTACAGCACATAGCCGCTCCATCCTCCAGGAGATGCGAAACAGTAGACGCGTGTCACGGCTAGTCGTTCTTCGTCCCGGAACTTGAATACGATTCGATGGCTTGGCGTGTCAAGTACACACATTGGCTGAATATGACCACCGATATCACTGGTTTCTGTGTCCCAACAGTTTATACCCATGTCCGTTTGTCTTTCGGTATCGGGTCAAAGCACGCCATATTTATCATCACTTCGAGTGTCGGCCGGACTACTTCAGCCGCCTCTTTGCATGATGTTGTGAAATTTCCAATCGTCCGTATAGGGAGGGCATTCCTCCACACTCTAAAATTCGACACAGTCATTGCAGGTCTGAGCCGGCCGTTGTATATACGTTCCTCTGGCGGCGCATCTTGTGTCCAAGACGTTGATCCGTGGATATGCATCGTCGTACTCATAGTACACCTTGATTGCATTTCCAGGGTCCATCAGACTCCTCACCAAGCACTGAAGCAGAGAACTTCACTGACGATTACTCTGCCGTGGGTAGGGGGAAACCAAGGTTGGTCGCTACCTCCTTCGGTCCACATCCCTGAAATGTTGGCGATATCGACAGAATTATAACCATCGCCAGTCGAGTGACCAAATGCACGACATGAGCTCTCGTTTCGGGAGAGGAGACTTCCTTCATCTCCAATGACACAATCTATCTTCATACTATTCCCGGATAACAACGCAATCCCCGAGCAGGTTTGGAGTATCCATGTGCGAGTGCACGGCCGTGTTCTCTCCTGTCACTAGTATGCCACGTAGTGATGACTCGTAGTTACCGCCCATCCAATACTATATAAGAAGTGATGTACAGTACAACATGCGACATGTATTGCCACATTTTGGCCAGGTTGATCTGCGAGGAAGAGCACTCGAGAACACGTTCATATCAAGAATGTTCGTAATTGGTCGAAGATGAATACCTCTACGAGTGAGATATGAGCAGGTACTCTGTGTTGATATGTTCAACCTCGCTGAATACTTGATTATGGCTGGGCACACGAGAGGTAGACAGTCCTTCCACGGAGCATCTAATACAATTCAATTAATTCAATTCAATTCAATTCAAACTGTTAATTAACGAGTTACATGCTACATCTGAGCGTATCACTCACGGAGCATCTAACACTGAAGTATCTGTGTACAAGTTGTGCATTTACACAAGATACCCTCCCTAAATCAGAAAACATGCCTTTTTAAGGAGACTTCTGGGGTCGCCGATCATCCCCACGTCGCATCATCAAACAACTGTAGCAACTTAACAACGCAGAATTCCCATGATTGGAAACCTCCAATGAATGATATGTTACCTCAGCGTTACTGAACACACCGAATGACTTGTCCAACCGATAATGTACAGAATGGCGACGGGCCGTCAATGATAGTGTGTTGATTTCCAACCTGTGTTGTGATCCACGGAGCGGGCAGAACTGTGATTACCACTGAGACTGTCCGTCAGTGACTCACTAACAGTGAGTTAGAGCTGAGGACTGCCGTTTTAGCAATGACAAGTGAAAAGTGGGGAAATAGTCACCATAACATCATGGTCTGAGAACGAATGAAGACCGCTCTGCGGTCACCGCAGCAAAGCTACGCAGAATATGAGGAGAAGACGGGATTAGCAGAAGAATATAATCATCTCATTGCTTTCGAAGTGAGGACTACTCGGGGCACACGTAAGCTGCGAGGCAGTCCCAGGAGTGAGCACTTCAGCTACACTGACATGTCAACGTAGAATCCCTTATGCATACATGTCTCTCGAAGCTGCATTGCCCGAGGGGGCAATTCCCGGCATGACATACGGTGTCGTGGGGAGGGGGGGTGGCAGGATCAGAGCCACACTGACATGTCAACGTAGAATCCCTTATGCATACATGTCTCTCGAAGCTGCATTGCCCGAGGGGGCAATTCCCGGCATGACATACGGTGTCGTGGGGAGGGGGGATAGGATCATCATAACCTTGGATCATGATGCCGTTGACCAGAAGGATGGTGACGAAGAATATTTTCAACATGGGAGGGTTCGACAAGAACGAGAACTGAGTCCGTGCACATTCCCATCATCTGATTCTGACCTCGTTACGAGGTCACTCAGCAACTTAGAAATATAAAATCGCGAATAACAGGCATACAAGTAAACATCAACCTACAGGCTGCAGGCGCACAAGTGCCCAGGGCTGAAGCTGAGATTTACTCACCATCCGGGGGTCGCGCTTCCTAGCTTTGATCTTTGGGTGATTACTCCCAACCACAGTCAACCAGGTTGGTCACCCTGTCACAGACTGTGCGCGACTAGAGTTAGTACTGCTAACTCAGTAGCACTATTGTTGAAAAGCATGTTCCAATGTGTGTACGTGAGGACTATCGCATGCGTGCTGATCCATAACTTTGCACGTACGTACAAGCGGAGGAGTAACTCCTCAGGAGTTGTGTCGCGACTCTTCGACTGGGCCGTACGCACGAGCAGCGGCGACCGGTCCACCGTCTTGCAACGCAACATTATCAGCTGTACTCATCTACACCTTTTCCCGTGCAAGTTTGACAAGTGAGCAGACAAGAATGACAATGTCACTATCAAGAGTGACAATGAGAATCCAAGTATGTCACAATTCAATTCTGTTACAATCAAGTTTGACTTTGAGAATTCAAGTATGTCATAATCGACTCGATTAAATCGAGATATGCTACAATCAAGATTGACAATGAAAATCCAAGTTTGTCACTTTTCTATTTTGTAGCAGCCAAGTTTGACAGTGAGAATTCATGTTTGACACTGGCAGAATATATTACAATCAAGAATGACAATGTTCCACACAAGTTTGACAATACACGTCCAATATTCTATTATCTCTATATGTGCGTGATGGTTCCTCAGTGTGCGCCGTGTTAAGAGGTTTACTTCAACGAGTATTTCCTTTGCCGGCTATAACCCACATCCTGGGAACGTCTGACTCTCTGTTCCCAGTCTTCGTCAACGTCATCACAGTCGACAAGGACGCAGCCCCAACAAGGCTCATTGTACGGAGCGATCGTTCCGTCCAGAAGGGTAACCCTTCTCTACTCTCAATGACAAAAACACGCCTTTGGCTTCTCCCCAGATAACAACCCAACGTCTCGGAGATTACAGGCTCTCGCAAGTGGGTTTATCCCATCTCGCTGACGTGAATAAATGATCGTGCTTGTTCATCTCTTCTACAATGAACGATAGTCTGGACCGTACTAGGGTTTGGTGCACTCATTGAGTTGACAACTCGGTAGTAGCTCTAGTTCAGTTACGAGTTTGTGTTACCTCTGTTAACGAAGTTATAAAGTATTCGAATTAAAGGAACATAAAAGCCTGAATAACAGGCATACAAGTAACCACCAACCTACAGGCTGCAGACGCCCAGGTGCCCAGTGCTGAATCTGAGATTCACTCACCACCTGGAGGCCGCGCTTTCAGCTTTGATCTTTGAAGAATTACGACGAGCCACAGTCGGCAAATCGTGATGTTGACTGTGGTACATAATACAGGGAGTCTACCCGTTACGGCTACTCGGAGGAAGCGGTCTACCTTGCGTTATATGCCAGGAAGGTGAGAGAGCCGTAGTAGCTGAATGCCTCTTACCCGTACACTGCTCCCAAATCCTCCGCGATCAGATGACCGGTCTGGTCCGACCAGATAGCGAGTGGAGACCCAAGCCGGAAAGTCTGCCCCAGGTAGAAGGTAGAAGAAGGGCTCAAAGCCCCGAACCATGGTGATGTCGAATGCACGAATGATTTTGTCAACTCCCTGAAAAAGCTATTCGATCATCACTTAGTACCGGTGGCCATACAGCATTTGTCGATGAGTAGAACTGCGTCACGTCAGAGGGTTGGCAGAACACGCATATGAGGAGCATGTCAAAGTGAACGTTGGGATCAGAAGAACTCTGATAACACTATGATTTCCAAGTCGAGTTGCACGAAATTAGATCTGCGATGCGTAATTTTCTAGGTGGCATCGTCTGAACTTCTGACTCTGAAGGTTGCTGCCGAGGCGATGCCAGTCGGAAAATTGCAGAAAATGCAGCACAGCAGAGAAAATCGGCTTCCAAAAACGGATCCGCTCGATCTAGGAACACTACAGAAGGAAAAAGCTCCCGGTGCGAGATTTCGACTCTACAACGTGCAGAAAGCTATATATATGTAACAGCACCATTGGTCTAGTGGTAGAATACAACGTTGCCATCGTTGTGACCCGAGTTCGATTCTCGGATGGTGCAGTTTTTCAAATTAAATTCCCACCTGTATTCATCTATCCATATTCACTCTTCATTTTCCCCTGACAAAAACCTTGTTGATCAGTCTCGATTCGAAGGAACTCGTGAGAGAGCTCCGTGTATGCCATATGTATAGGAGATTTTCGTCGTCAAAAGGCGATGGAAAGGGACGAATGGGGCCAGTTTTGAAGACCAATGCCTGGGCTTCCGTAATGTCACTCGCTGAAGATCCTTCCCTCTTTCAGCATGTGGGCGCTCCCTCAACGCTGCCATGAGGGGGGTCCACGCATGCTAAAGGGGGGGGGGCTCTTGCTCATCTTGCTTTTCCTTCACGACACCGCGTGTCATCGTCTCCCTTGGGATGTTTCGTTGAACGAATCCACCCCGGATAATGCCGTCATGCCCACAATGGACTGAACCATTCAGAATTCACTTCGCGAATGGAGCCGCTATGCCCACTATGAAGTAGAACATTCAGAGAGTCATTTGGCGAATGGGGCCGGTATGCCCACGACGGACCATGCCACCCAGAAATTCATTTGGTGAATGGGGCCGCTATGCCCGCCATGGATCATGCCATTCAGAAGTTTATTTGGCGCATGGGGCCGCTATGCCCACTATGGGGCGTGGCTCTCCGACTCGGGGGCTCCAAACAGTAGACGCATCGTATTCATAACATAACGACAATACCTCAAGGGGGCACTCCTGCTAATAGGAGTGATCAAAAGATGTCTACTCGGAAGAACGATTCAAAACCGACAAGTTCATTCAGACAATGGGTAGACATTCGCTTAATGAGGACCTACTGACCGCCTCCGGCGACCTCTTTCGATGCGGACTTCAGAAGCGGGATATCCTCCACACATGGTAGCTCCTACACATGGTATGTTAGTCCATCGGCCCTTCAACAGTCGCACGCAGCTGCCAATAGAGAAACACCTGCATGATGCAGGCTGCATCCACCATTGTGTTGAAGGGGCATCAGACCCTACACTGAAGTCCCGAATAGCGACGAAAGTATATGTTGTCGATACGAATGCTCGATATCCACTGTAACATTGTACTACACCAGGGATGGGCCACAGAACCTGCGGCCAATACGTATCCGCAACCTAGCACCTAAGTAGGTTGACTCAACTCAGTTGATTTGTAACCAAATACCAAAAAGGATGAAACTTCTCCTGGAAATGATCAGATAGAAACAACTGCTCAACAGTACAACAGTATAACATCAGGAACAGCAACGGAGAAAATGGACTAGCATTGGATCACTCACGAATGATGACATGGTCACTCAAAGCCAGTGACGAGGTCTCTTCAGTACGCTCTACGCGTGCTTGCGCATAACTCGGCAATACCTGATAAAAACACTGACGGAGCCACAAAACAGGAGACGAGAGAAACTACAAGTTCATATTCTCGCCAGTTATGAACTGATAGAGGACCTTTACCCAGGAAGTATAGCTGGGAATGTCGTACCTATGGTTAACAGTGAATGAGAATACAGCAAACCCTGTCACGCAGCTCACCATTCGGGAGCAATGGCCTTGACCTTCCATAGGTTGAAACCAGACACATTGGGGAAGTCATGGTGTTCATTGTGGAGTCTGAGGGGACGAAAAGTGACAGGTATCCACGAGCTCATCAGCGCTTACCCGACATTGTAGACGATAAAGTTGAGAGGACCATAGTAACTGTAGGTTTCCTGACCATACACGAACTCGTAATGCTCGGCAATGAAGTGAGCAGAGATAGGGTTGAAGATACTCAAGCCCATAAAGAGACCACCGATAAGATAGAAGAAGGACTTCCATCCAAGGTACTTCACAACGACGATATCAAACAGCAGTTGGACCAACCAGTTGATGAGTTCGTATAGATTCATGGGGAGAGGGTGAACAACTAGGGGCCTCAGAGCATAGAAGAATGGCTGGAGGAGAGCCCAGATGAACTTGCCAAGCTTGTGTTGGAATAGATTGGCTTCGAAACGAGTGGGAAGATCAACATCAACCTTCGGAACTCCCTAAAATGATGCAACATGAGGAACAACGCTTCCCAACGGCACTCCTCACTTGGGAAGAATGATGGTCCAGATGGTATCTTCTGAAGGTAGCCATCATAGCAACGCCCACAGGGAGGTTAAGGAAGAGGCTGACAGGCAGGAGCAACTGCAAGGGAATCGCTGTACCGATAGTACTTACGAGAAAACCCTGTTATAGAACCTAGTCTTGAAGAACATATCATGAGAGAGCTCGTGACCACCCATGACGATGGAATGCTCCATGAAGCCAGAGACCAACTGATGATGAGGAGGAGAAATGTAGTGCAGGAAAATGACGGATATCTTCTACCCAAGTGGCAAGAATGACTGAAGGCCATGACCAGTCCTTGACGAGGACGCACATGATGAACTGGACTAGGACAGTGAAAGTAGCGAACACAGCTTCACGGTTGTCGGCACCCTGAACTCCAATGATCTCTGGGTGCCTGAAGAGGAGTCCTACGTTGGCGAGTACCACAAGAAAAGCAACCCTACGCTTCCACAATCTGCTTCCTTCGGAGTCTGTGTATCTCAGCCGACTTAGACCAGTGGAAGTCCTTAGGAGCATACTTCCTCTGAATGAGCCTGTTAGAGGCAGAGACGTCCTTGATGGTGCCAACATGAGAGGGCTCCAATGCGTTAAGATGAACGAGCTTGTTCATATCCTCAGTAGGCGTATGATCCATTCCATCATCCTCTTGAGGAGCCACCACCTTCCGGGCAGTTGCGCCCTCGGGGAGCTCAACCTTAGCAGCAGCATCCTCCTCGGTAGGAGCCTCACTGTTGGCTGGAGTAGCGGTAGTAGCGTCAGTCATGATAAACAACGACAAGTCGATAGTCCTATGAGCAGCTATAAAACCCTCAACACAGCATGAAAGGGAATAGACTTCTACCCTCTGGGAAACCGTAATATAGAGAGCAATCATCATCTGGATACGCTCCTAGCAAATCGCGACCTGCCCTCTGCTGTATACTCGAGGCGATGACGAACTCTAGTGAGTTTACTCGTGGGTCACTACTAACATGCATTCTTCAGTAGGCAACTCCTGACGTTAGCCAGTGCCCCTCAGTTGAACACCCCCTCCACCACCGTTGCTCTCGGTTGGAGGGGAGCCTCTGCGTTGCACACTCGTAGTTCATAATGATGCTGCTGCTGAGCATTTTGGACCGCATCATCCACAGGCTCAAAGAGGTTCGGAAAGTGAAGATGGGCGACTGTGGCAGTCTCCGCACCAAGCACTGGGGCTGGTCCTGGGAACACACCCTTTCGAACCGAGCGAGATGCACCTTGTCGAACCCACCTAGGAGGGATCGCAGTGTCTCCACCTCAGTCGACGGACTCTGGGCCTGTCGGTTTATCTCATCCAAGCACTCTGTCAACAGTGCATGGATTTTCACTGCTACCACAAACACCTTCATAGTAACTCTAGTGACGATCGAATGAAAACTGAGGAGGAGAAGACCATAATGATGACCATGGACCAAAAGACTCACCCAAGGAAGGGAGTACTCCTAGCATGGAAGAGCCTAGGAATGTTCTTGTCGTGCCGTTTGAGGAGCTTCCGGAAGCCAGCCAAATTGACATCAATATAGTTCATCAGCTCAGCGAGGTGTTCATGAAAGTTGCAGTAACTCCTCACATACGATTCGACCCATGAGCATGCAGCTTCAGTCCCGAGAGAGCTTACATGATACGACACCTAATAGAGTAGCCCTAGAGAAGGTGGTAACCCGCCCATCATCACTACCAATGCTTGAGCCAACCTCTGGCCGTTTTTCTGAGGAGCACATTCAACTTGCCGCTCGGTCAAGAGCAGTCCACCGTGATTAGCCTTCGTTATCCACTGTGATATCTGATGGAAAAACCATAAAATCTCCACAACGGCCAATGAGAAAGCTCACCTCGTGCATGAGAGACAGTTCCAGCTCCTCTATCGCTCCCTTGATGCACTCAATGTCCCGATCCACAACACTAAACATCTCACCATCTTGGAACCGTATTTCCTCTAAAGTCAATAGAACGTCCCTTTGGGGTATGCCATACCTGAGAAGAGTAGCTCCACGAATAACTAAGTCAACGGCGACCTTCCATATACTACCTGGCCCGCTCAGTGTTCACGAAAATGATGAGAGAAGCCAACGACTCCGTGCCCAAGAGCTCCTAATAGGAAGCAATTAACTGATAGTAGAAGAGTCAATGACGACAGTACATTTTGCCGGGCGAAGGTCTTGGCTAGTTTCTCCAGTCCCACCAAATGATGCTTTATAGTTTTCTGAGAGAGGTACGGCAAACTGCCCTCCTGCATTGCTAGAGCGAGCCTCTTGCTAAAACGCATTTTTGAGGTAGATAAAGAATTGGCTCTCAAAACTGCCAAAACCAACACAAGGTCTAGCGTAAAGATACCACTAAGCTCGACTAGGCACGTTATGCTGTTGTCCGCGACATACCACTCCCTGGCCAACTCAAAGCAGACCGTGCCAGCCCCAAATCATCACTACAAAGAAGTGTACTTGAGTCTACTACCGCTACTAGGCAGCCTCGTGGGTGTTGAAGATACATCGTTACTATCAGTCATTGACAGGCAAGCCTCTTGTGATACGAAATTAGGCTCGCGAAATACCCAAGATTCCCTACGACCATCTCTTTCCGATTGATCCGACAGTCCAAACACTCCCCACCTGGGGTGTAGAGCCTCTTCAGCGAGCTACTATCGACAGATGCCGGCTACTAAAAGCTTTCTTGCAAGTCTACAACAGCGCAACATTCCACCCCTTCTTAGCCTTGCCGATAACCAACCTGGCGAGCGCTACTGACGTTTAGCGGAGCGAAGCGATTCATTCGTTGCATTTTCATTTCTTTTTATCGCCACAACATATGGAAAACTCTTCCTCTCCTTCATCTCCATCCCGATCGTCCTCGACGGAGACCCCAACCCCTAATACGGCGGTTTCTGAAGAGGCGGTTCCGTTGCCCAATAGCGACCATGCTGAAGGGCTCTTCCCTACTATAACACAACGGTTCGCTGGTACTACCTACAAGTGAAGCGCCTATTAGAATCTCCATTGGCAGGTTTTGCGGAGACCAACCCTGAGGAGGCTACTGCATTGGCCCGGATAACGCAGATTATGGTTCGAACGTACGAACTAGGGTGAGGGGTGGACGAGACTGTAGATCGTCTGTAGATACCCTGAGGCCGTCCAGACCGTCTTGGGTATGGCCGGCAGGGCCAACTACTTCGCAACCCACTACCTCTCCTGGGTCCCCTTTATGGGAGGAATAGTACTATTGACTCACGTTGCTCGAGTTCTCCCATTTTCGCCTCGTCAGGCTGATAGGATATCTTCGGCAACAGCAGGGATACCGTCGAGTCTTCGGGAGGATCCAGACGCTCTCGATGAGCGTATCAATCAGTTGTTGATAGAGGTCCTGGGGCCAGAGAAAGCCGCTCATTTATGGGATACCACTGATGGTAATAAGATAGTTATACTTTATTTTTACATGATAAAATAGTATGTGTTGGACGCACAGCCAAAGCTGGTACTGAGATCAATAATAATAAGTACTATCAATTTCAGAATCACAGTGCGGCCAAGGCAAGCACTGTGATTATAACATCCATTTATTGTACACCCACAGCAGGGCCCCCTAACATACGCCTTAGGATATGAATAGTATTGATACTAGCCACACGTTGATATGTGTTTATATCTACTCCCGATAGAAAATAGTTTATTAATAGAATGCCCGTATAATAGATTGTAGATATTTATATCATACGTCATCCGGGTCCTTGCTGCAAACTCCGAGTGCAATAAAGATAAGAACACTGCTATCACCGATTCAAAATCAAACTGCCATAGCATGATCAGTCGGCTAGCATGCAATGTTATTTTCATCAATTCAGAAATGTGTGGTATAGGTCTGAAGCTGCAATGTAACTTATTATTCCGAATAGGATGTTGTATTCGTCGCCAAACTAACTGGCTATGTGTAGATTTCCTTGGTCAGGATCACCAGAGTCACTCGAAGGAGTTTCTGAGGTCGTCTTGACCACAGACGACGCGGTAGTTGGAGAAAATTGTGCAATTTGTATGGAAGAGTACAAAGTAGAGGATGAATGGTAACTAGGAGGTTCAATAGACTACGCGTACCACTCCTTTGTTACTTCTCAGTTACAAGCTTGCCTGTGGTCACTATCTCCACAAAGAGTGTGGACGTCGATGGTTGCAAAGAGCCCCCACATGTCCGATTTGTCGAGCCAAGCTAGCCTCTCATGACGAGAGCTCCGAAAATGGCCATTCGGAGTCATCGACCTTCTCTGACGGTCGATTCACTCGACATTATGAATCTAGTAGTAACGGCTTTTCTGTTCAATTTCAATGGCAACTTTAACCCCATCTCACTTCGTAGTCCGTGTTTATCATTTTTTCTATCCCGCTGAGTATTGGGTAGTGTTGGTAGAAGGGTGGTATGAAGGAGTGCGAAAGTATGCGGGTTATTCTCATCGCAGGGTTCCCAACTTCTGACCTTTCTATGGCCACTGTAGGTTCTAGGAGTATGCATGATGACAATGGGAGAATCATTGAGCTCTGAATCATGAACAAGTCTGACAGGGCTCAGCAAGCGCTTGACTTGACCCGCCACATTGAGGGAAGCTTCAGTAACATTACCAGTCTTCTCTTCATGTAAGACCTCCGAACAATATTCAGAGTGAATTTCATCTGATGCGGAAAATGTCGGCATTCTTGAGAACTGCTTTAGCACATGGTGCGGGGACAGCAGTGTCTCATATGCTGGGCTTTGATGACTTCAGCAGGGCAACTACTACTCAGTTTGACTCAGCTGAGTAAGCTACTGATGGTTACATGTTCCAAGGGTCTTGAGTTGTCAATACCCGTAACTAGAGTGTTAGGACAGATATGAATGCTTCACCCACTTCAGCAGTACTGAATCGTAGTAACAGCTCATACCACTTCTCCTCCGAATCGATGCACAGCCACACTGCACACAAGCTAGATCGCCTTTGCGATAAGTAATAGTCGTGTCTCGAGTTCAGGCTTTGATTCGTGCTGTTTCCGGCTGGTAGGCTCGAACGAGTCGTGGACAAGCTAGACCTCTACCTCATGTCGACTAACAAGATCGTTGAGATGGTAAGGCCCCTTCCTAAGCTGTCTTGATATGTGTCACCACCCTCCTTTGTTAGGCTCATGCGATTCTCGTTGACGCACCATCTCAACGAGTTCCGCAGTATGTGGATCCGCAACGACCACCTCAGAATGAATGGAGGACAACTCGGGACACGCGAGATTATGAAGTAGCAAGAGCAGTTGAGGAGGAACACGCCCAAAGGGACGACAAAGCAGTGAATCACGAACAAGATGATCGCGCGCCACGTAAATCCAAAATCATTCGGAAAAGCTCACGAAAGTCACAACGGCACTTGGAGGCCGTCGAAGAGGCTGTGAGGCGGCATCGAGAGACGAAGAGATCCAAAAGTCGTCAGAGCGTCGATAACAGCGCTGAAGTGGGTGGGCGCCGAGAGAAGGTTGATCGGCCTGCCAGGAAGGCTCGGGGGCACTCTGATGCTTCTGATGATCGTCGAAGTGACGAGAGTGAGAGGAGAGCGAATGACCAGCAAGTACATGGTGATGACCGCAAAGCCGCTCTGCAGGAGTTCTTCACGACACTCATGGGACAGATTCCAGAGAAGGCAGGAGAGGCTGTAGAGTATGGCAAGGCGGGGAGGCGGTCGCGGAGGCCCTCTGCTTCTTCTCGCAGACAGTCACGAGTAGTGGAGGCCCAGCAGGAGGCAGAAGAGGATGACGATGATGACGACGAGCCTGTCAACGTGAGACAGATACCGGGGAGTGACACTTCTTCTGAAGACTTGTCTGATTGACATGCTCGGTGTTCTTGTTGATTTATTGTCTTGTGTTATGAAAGTGGAGTGACCATGTTGCGAGAGGAAACTTAGCGGCATCAGTCACGTGACAAGAACAAGCACCTCGACTGAGGTGATGAGCTCAGCTCATTGAGCTGTTTGAGCTTTGACCTCAATAGATTTGTATATCAATAGACAGTCTCGTCGGGTGGAGGAGGACGGAGAGACTTGCCAACTGAAGGTGTTGCATCACAAGACTACAGGTAAGGGGTAAGTATGGCCTTTGTCATGCTCCCTGATTCGTACAGTGTCAGAGAACTGGTCACTCGACTACATCACTTTCTCAATGTTCCTGCCAGGTTGGTGATATAGAGCGGGGAGAGTTAGAGCAACAGGTCCCGAAGAGGAGGTTGTCACATTTGTATTTACGATCTAATCCCGGCTGATGCACAAGAGGACAGACCTGTGTGGTACGTATATCGAAGGATGCAAGGCACCATGAGCAGCGGCTCTGATGGCCAAATTCTTGCAACATGACTCCTTCCTGACGGGGAATACCTGTATTTGACTACTCCTCGAGTTAACAGTTAGCCGCCATTTCCAACCTTCATGATTTCTATTCCAAGGCTCTTTAGTCGCCCCCCCCACTCCATTCACTCGACATCAATTTGTCATAGAGTTTGAAAAAGTGCTGATAATATTAAATATGTCAAAGTCATCTTGACGCGCACGATTGTGTACAGAAGTTGGCCGATGATGTGGAGTTCTGACTTTCGAGCTGTAAACGCTGGGCTGAGTTCCGCTGAAGGAGAGCACACTGGTTCGACCACCATAGCACATGAGCGTACCTGTTGCTGGATTTGCTGCTGCTCTCGACGTATTTCAACAAGCTTCTGTGCCCCTGAACGAGTCCATTCAACGGCTCCACTGAGAATTAGCATTTACCGATCAAGAAGGCATAATCCACATTGCTCGCGGTCTTGGCCGAAGCCGCAACGAAAAACGCGCCGATCTGCTGAGCCTTCTTCTCACCCTCGGCCGGAGTAACCACAACCTCTGATGAGAGATCGTGTTTGTTACCTGACGGGAAGAGTGGGAGTCGGAAAGCAGGGGAGGAACAATTACTCACCAACGAGTATCTTTATAGTGTTGGGTCCAAGGTCATGATGCTGTTCTATTTGAGATAGCCACTGATCGACGTGATCAAAAGAAGTCTGAATAATAGAATAAAATGACATCCGAAATCCATCATCTATCCCACTCTGTTTGTAGCATCATACACCAGTACGAAGCCGTCAGCATTGCGGTAGTAATTGCCTGTGACCACCGAGAAGCGCTCCTGCCCTGCAGTGTCCCACTGAGAGGAAAGAACGACAGATACAAAGACCCTCCTGCAGCAGCCAAAATGACTCACCAGCTGTAGTTTGACGAGTCGACCTTTTACCATCGTCACCACAGTTTTCTGAAATGGTGATGACAGAAGTGATGGGAGCTGCACCGAAGCTGTTAGTCTTACAAAGTCAACGCCAATCGTTGAAACGTGGAAGTCAGAGTAGACGTCGTTGACGAAGCGAGTGAGAAGGCAGGACTTGCCAACACCCGAGTCACCGACTGACACCAACTTGAACTTGAAGTCCCCCTCGGTCTGACAAGATACTAGAGTGAGTTCCTGTAAAAACTGCGCTAGGGAGTAGCCTTACCGCTCCTTCTTTAATTTCCAGCACATTGAGGAAAAACAGCTTCCTTGAAATCCGAATTTCGTCAGAGCCGACCTTGTCCCTACACCAAGTTCAATAAACACGGAATTGAGAATCTCAACGGACCTGATCCCGCCGAAGACCAGAAGCTTATCGTGGAGCACAGTAGTAGTGTGCACTCGGAGGTTTATAGCAGCACCATCATACAGCGGTCTTGACCATCGCTTCGTGGCCATATCATATCTGTAGTCGAAGGAGTGGTACGGTCCCAGTCGGGACAAGGCTGCTAGCACTCACATGTAAAGGTCGGCAGAGCGTGCTGATGAAGGAGCCGAGACGCCAGCTAAAACATAGAGCCTAAAGGAGGTAGTAGCGATGGAATAGAAAGATGATAAATGCGACCTGCCGCCAATCATGTCCATACTATGGAACCTCCGTTGGCAGGGTGCAGTCGAATTATTGGTATCACAGATGGAAACCTGTAAAATGCAGGGCGCTCGGATCGAACCCGGGACCTCCGGATCTACTGCAACAGTATTGCCACTCTCGAGTGTAATCTTGTAGAGCTCGCTGGACTCCTCATCGTCGCCAACATCCCCATAGCTGCCTCCGAAACTATAGATGCTACCATGGTAGGCCGCCATGGCGTGACCAAACACTGGGGGGAGAGTAATTGACGGTGACACCTGCTTGGGAACTATCACAACTCGACGGTGACACTTCCGATCTACCTTATGCCAGGCCCACGAGGAGAGGTCGAGGATCCACACCTCAGCATTGACTCGTCCTTCAGCATCCAGTCCACCATAGACCAACAAGGATTCTTCAACCTGGGACGGGGATCCCCAGGTTAGCACATAGTCAACCACGTGTGTTGGTGACACTATGAAAATTCGAGGGGAACTCTAGGAAATTCTAATTGGTTTCTGTATACTCCTACCCGAGTTCATATGTAGTTTTCTAGTTTTCTATAACTAGTGAGGAAACTCCTAAGCTCAGCTGAGGAAAACAAACGTAAACTCCAGCACTAGTGATACAGTCCTCGTCGCTCACCACAGCGCTGGCATGGAAGTAGCGTCCAGAGGGTGCCTCGAGGGTCTTGGTGATAGGAGGGCGGGACCATACCAACGTCCTAAGACCAGAAGTGTCTAGGGAATGAAGTTCTTGGTAGAGCTGCATGAGGCTGATGCGCTGGACTAGTTGAACTCAACGGGGACATTGATAAACGATGGGCAGCTGGCCGAGAAGACCTACCTTGTATTGAACACGTAAATGTCACACGAAGCCTCTGCGGCCCCGTGGGTCCAGGCAGGGGTACTCGGTCGGAGGAACTCTGGATGAGACGTGGACCCCTCGGTGGTGCAAAGACCTCCAAAGAGTAAGAGGTCGGTATCAGATATTGCCTGACAAAGGACGCAGGTTCGATTCCTGCCAGGTGCATTTCTCCACCTACGTTGAAGGTGTGACCGAATCGAGATGCTGGGAGATCCCCAGTGCCCTGCAGCCTCGACCACTTCATTTGCTCTATCTCCAGCAGATGAACCTACCACCCAGGAGCTCCCCTCAACCACAGTGTGGGAAAATACGCACAGGGCCAACCGTATATGTTGGTGAGAGTATAAAAACTGCGTGAGAATTTCGGAAAAATTCTCGTTAATTCATTCACATTTCCCCTCGAATTTGTATATATGAACTTCTTAAAATTAGTAAGGAAACTCCCAAGCTGAACTGAGGAGAAGCGAACATATATTCCAACACCAGTCAACAGTCAGCACTGAGAGCACCTACCTCGCCGTTGCCACCAAAACTCCTCTTATCATCCGCTCCACCATAGAGGTACATCCTAAGACCAATCCTGATGAGACGAACCACGACCCAGCCTGCTCACCTTGTACCGAGAGTAGCAGCCCGAGCAGCCGCTCGCGCCGGGGGCGTATCCCCATGCTGTTTCAGGTCACATACAGACAGGACCTGGCATTGACAAACACCTCAGGTGGACTAGGGAGACCAACTACGGTACCAAGTTCCGGACAGCTAGCTCTGGCTCGGAGACCTCTGTAGTGAGCATTCGAAGGGTGGGTAAAAGCTCTTACACTATCCAACGGAAGAAGCGTATAAAACTCCTCCGGACACAACTAGGGTGGTTCAAAGCATAATTCTACTCTATTGTGATCATTATCACTAGTGGCTGAGGAGAAGAGCGAAGCTGCTTAAACCACTACTACTAATAGGCCCCTTATGTGCCTTACGTGATAGATCCCCTTGCTGTATGTAACCCTGCTACTCGGTAGCAATATCGATCACGACGAGGTAGACAGCTCCCAAAGCCTTCCCCCTACAACCCCTATTGATATGTAGTTCAACCCGACACTCAAGCAAGTCTGATAAAATCCTCTTGGAAATATGCAATACCACAACTGACTCCAAAATGTTACTACTACTGCTCGGGAGCTGCAGCGGTGTGACTCTCCCGAAGGGACCACTGCAGAATGAGTAAAACCCAAACATGTAACGCTACAGTATAGAGAAGGAGGAGCACTCGGGCAAAGGGTGAGCGTACGAGCTGCCGAACCGCTCCTCGGGCAACTGTATCTATCTCATTGACGACCTTAAGGATGGGAGATCTCCCATGAGCTCGCAATTCCACCATACCTAGAGACCCATATAATTTCGTGGCGCGCGACAAATATACAGCGACTGGCCCACCGTCTCGTATTCGCTTGTTCCGGCCCACTCTCGGAGTTCCACTAGGGGACATCTCCCCCAACTCGATATCGCTACGTCCCGACTAAAACACGACTCCATAGCCCTCCAAAGCGAGAGGCATCCACCTCACCTTATACGATGATGACTCCTGCTGTTGGTCATTACGGTAGGTGTTAACCTCGCACACCAGAGCCTCAATACGCCGATCCTTCTCAGATATCCTACGGGGAGAGCACATTATCAACAAGGAGGAGAAGGCGGCACGGGCAGCCCTACCGTCTCTGGAGGACTTCCACTTCCCGCATGTGACCCTGGGCCGCCTGAGTCATACCCTTCTGTAGACGTGTTATAGTTTCCTGAGGGCAACGAATTCAACGGCCAACCACCCCAGCCAGCACCAACCTGTAAGTCAGTAGTAGGAGGTGATGACGACTGCTGCTCTAAAGCAGTTCTGGCTGAGGCTAGGTCCGACTCCAATCCTGATATACGAGTGGTGAACCTGAGAAATACCTTCCGCCCGATCACACTCAGTGTTGGAGTAGGAATATATGTTCGCTTCTCTCAGCTGAGCTCGGGAGTTTACATACAAATTCTGGTAGTAGACAGAAACCAACAAGAACCCTCCAAAATTCCCTCCCAGAATTTTCATACTATCACCAACACATGTAGTTGATCATGTGCATACTTCCCCCTACTGGCCCACAAGGGCCTACCTCTCCTTATCGCTCTCCGCCCAAGCCTTGGTCTGCCGCAGCTCATCCTCTACCTCCTCAATCCTCTGCTCTCTCTTCCTCAGAGTGTCCTGACCCATCGAGCGTCGTCCAGAGATGCCGCCACCGGTCCCTCCTACCTCCAGCTCAGTTACCCTTCTCTTGGCCGACTCGATCGCCTCTGATGTTGACGCTGCCAGGTCCTTCTCGTGAAGGTTTGACTGCAACTCAAACACTTGCTGGGCGAGCTTGGCAGATTCGGTAGAAGCATTCTAGGAATGAGAGCAAGGGTCGGCGAGACTTGAAAAGAGAGTCCTACCTCGGCCCTCAGTTCTGCAGCCGCCACCGCCTTCTCCAGCTCCTCAGTTCGCCTCCCACCACTGGCCATCGCGGACGACATCCTCTCCACCTCTGCGTTGGCGTTAGCGTATCTACAACCCACACAATGCTAGGATGAATTCAATACTGAGTGTTCCTACGCGTTCTTCAACTCAGTATTGCTCTGGGAGTAGTCGTGGAGCTGTCGACGAAGGGTAGTGAGCTCAGTGGTAGACGAGGCGTCCCTGTACCCAATGGGACTCTACCATGTACAGTAGCTTCCTCTCACTTCTCTTTAAGCTGCATACAGGTGGTAGTAAGATCTTTTTCAAGCTGAGACGAGCGGCTCCTCTCAGCCGCTAACTTCGCCTTGAGATCCGCAATAGACGACTCCTTCTGGCCCAACAACAGCGCCAACTGAGAGCCCACAGCCGTCCGCAACAGGCCTACTCCCCCTCCACTACCTCCCCCTCCATCTCCTGCCTGGCCGCCTCCACGTCCCTCTCCGACCCCTTCTTATGCTCCCTTACCTCCTCCTGAAGATCAGCACATCTCTGCCGTAATTTCTGCATTTCTCTACGGAGACTCTGCAACGACCTAATACACCACTCATGCCGGCATCTCGCGAGTCGGCAGAATGAGCTCACCCGTCCCCGCGGCCCACCGCCTTCGCAATCTCCTCTGAGTATGTCCGCTGCATATCCCGCAGCTCCTCTTCTTTCAATTCGAGAGCCTTCTCAAGGTCACCGACTTTCGATGATGATTCCAACAGCAACGTCTCGAGTCTCTGCGAAAAATGCCATCGCCAACAGCGGAGCGAAGCGGCACTACCTCGGCCTTCTCCACTAACATCCTCGCGTTGGGTTCCACTACCACCCTACTACTACCCGACTCCCCAGAGGAGCCGCCACTCCCCTCCACAACGACTGACAGAGACTATCCCAACTGAGCCTATAACGCGGCCTACCAGCTCGACTGCCTTCCGTATCCCCGGCGTGTGGTGATGAGGCTGCTGAGCCGCTACTGCCACCATTGCTACTATCAGCCCTTTCCTTAGAGGTCTCCGACAACCGAGGAGTAGTAGATAGAGAAAGGCTCTCGTCGGTGGTGTCGGGTATTGCTGGGGGAGGCAGAGGTGACTCGCCTCCTCCTCCTCCTTCTTCCCCCACCTCATGGTAATGCGGACTGGATGTAACCACCCTACGTCCGTCATCAGCCTGTACTGTCGTCTCGCCACCACCGACTGAGGCAGGACGGGAAGCTTCCTCCTCCTCCTCCTCCTCCTCTACGAGCACGTCATTACCGGCAGCCATCGTAGATTCACCATCCTCCAGCAACTCGGCATGAGGAGGGTTGCCGCTAGCCTCAGATTGAGATGTGTCCATGGCCTGCCCCGATAACAGAGTCGATGGCATAGTGGGAGCCTGTGGTGGCGGTAGGGGTTCCTCAGTGGGAGCCTCTGGTGACGATAAAAGTTCCCCAGTGGGAACCTGTAGTGGTGGTAATGGTTTCTCAGTGTCAGTCCTTGGTGACGGTAATGGTTCCTCAGTGGGAGCTTCTCGCGACGGCAATGGTTCCCCAGTGAGATCTTGTGGTGGCGGTGGTGGCTGATCAGTGAGAGCCTGTGGTGGCGGTGGTGTCTCCTCAGTTGGAACCTGTAGTGATGGTAACGGTTCCCTAGTAGCAACTTCTGGTGACAGCAATGGTTCTCCAGTAGCAACTTCTAGTGACAGCAATGGTTCCTCAATAGGAGCTTCTCGGGACGATGATAGTTTCCCAGTGGGAGCCTGTGATGGCGGTAGTGGCCGCTCAGTAGGAGTCTGTGGTGACGGTAATGCTTCCTCAGTAGGAGTCTGTGGTGACGGTAATGCTCCCTCAGTAGGAGTCTGTGGTGACGGTAATGCTTCCTCAGTAGGAGTCTGTGGTGACGGTAATGCTTCCTCAGTAGGAGTCTGTGGTGACGGTAATGCTCCCTCAGTAGGAGTCTGTGGTGACGGTAATGCTTCCTCAGTAGGAGTCTGTGGTGACGGTAATGCTTCCTCAGTAGGAGTCTGTGGTGACGGTAATGCTTCCTCAGTAGGAGTCTGTGGTGACGGTAATGCTTCCTTAGTAGGAGCTCCTGGTAGCGGCAATGCTTCCCCAGAAGGAGCCTGTGGTGGTGGTAATGGTTCCTCCTTGACCCCCGCCGAGCCCTCATCACTCCCCTCCTCTTCCTCCGATATAGCTCTACCAGCCTTGGCGGTGGCATCACTGAAAACATCGCTCGGGGTGATAGCAGTGGGAGGACTGGGGAAGGGCCCCCCTGCCAGTTGCTGACCCCTCGGCTTCCACGTTGAGGTCGCCGCCTCGCTCTCCCATACCAGCAGGTCGTCATTAGCATCCCCTGCCGCCCCTCCTCCGAAGAGATCGTCAGGTACCACCCTTGAGGGCTCGGGAGACGATCGTCGGTAAGCCCCGAGAGATACATGCTCCGTCGACGTAGGAGGACCTCGTGGGGGAGTTGCGATGTTCTGTAGGGCCGCACTAGCTCGATTGGAGAGGCCCTTAACCCAGGAGGACCCCCCAGCCGCTGCAGCAGCCCAACTCATTCCACTATCTGACCTAACCTCGCCACTCGCCCTCGGATGCACCGAACGGCCTCTATTGAAATCCTGAGAACCACTGATCGTGTACGTCGTCGGTAGCTGTAGTACCCGATTGTCATCGCTGCTGGCAGCTCCTGTAGGGCTTCTCCTCTCGGCCTCCTCAGCATCAGCCGCCTCTAGTATGTCGTTGATCTTCCGAAATAGGTCCATGAGTGAAGTGAACTCACAGCACCCTCCTCCCATAACTATACCAACCCAACTCCTATGCAATGGTATCAAATTTACTATGGCCGCCCCCCAGTAGGGACAGACGACTTCAGAGTAGTCCAATGTAGCAGCAGCAGCAGCGAGTAAAAGACTAGGCAACATATTGTGGCCTACAGCAATAGGACTCAACCAAAGCGCATGATATCAACATAGTTCCCACGAGTATACTGCTTCCGCTGGGTCGGCGCATACCCCGTAGGAGGGGGCGCCAGAGGGGCTGCCGGGGGAGGAGGAGCAGCCGTTCCAGTAGGAGAAAGTTGACCTTCGGGTTGACCTCGTTGTCGCCATTCTTTCCGAACTTCATCATAATAGAAGGTGTTCTCTTCTCCTAAGGCGTAGGGGTCTCCTTCGGGTTGGGTAGGGCCCGCTAGCGACTCGGATATCCCCGCCACTGCTGACTTTAACCCACCCAACAAGCCGCCAAGATACTTCCCCGCCGACTCCAATGCATCAGAGTGGTCGCCACGACCATTAGATGTCCTATCCGGGGTTTGAACCCGCGGCCTCGAGCCCCATTGCTGGTTCGGTGGAATTAGCGGAGGCCTTCCCCCTGGAGGCGGCATAGAGTCACCGTAGCCGTACTGCTGCTGCTGCTGCTGCTGTTGAGTATTGAAGAAGCCCGGCTGTTGGCCATCCATAGGTGCTGGTGGGCTCACCAAACCCGCATTAGAGAAGGCACCACTGGGCAGCCGCTGTGCCCGGCCCGAGAGGGGAGAGACTACAGATCCTTGCCGATGATGAGGAGGATAGGAGGGGCCAGTCGCCATCGTCTTGGTCGCGGGGTTCGATGGGACTGCCCCCACCGTCGGACCGTTATTGAAGCCAGTAGGAGTAGCGTGAGTAGCAACGGGGGACATCAGGCTCCCCGATCCAGGCAAGGACCCCTCTCGAGCGTGAGTCGGACGAGGCACACCTGTAGGAGCAGAAGATACTGTACGAGGAGCTTCAGACCACTGGCCTCGATGCGGTTGCTGCTGCTGTTGTTGGTGTCGAGGAGGCGACACTGTGGGCTGGGCGAAAGGGTTAGCCTCAGCATCCTGGGTAATAGCCACCTCGGGGGCAGGACTCGGCTGCGTGATGGGAGGCTGGGCCGTGGTTGGCACCTGTAGTGGGGGAGGGACCGTACCAGCTGACCGCTGATGATCATGACGAGGAGGTACAGCCGGCTGCTTGAGAGGGGCTGTTTGAGGCTGAAATGGAGACAGTCAGAACATACACGAACAGTCCCGAGGTAAGTACCTTAGCCCAAGTGCTTTCTGGTGTGGTCTGCATAGAGGCTCCGGCCAGGGACTTGAGGCCACCCCAAATCCCACGACTATCAGACTCGTCCAACTTGTAGTCCGACGTGCACAGCTCCGCCTCCGTGACGTATCTTCTGTGCATGGTCAGCCTCCTTCCAAAGTCCCCAACGAGACTTCTCAACTGCTGGGAGTACCTCCCACTAGGCTGGTCGCCCATGTACTGGTAGACCTCTCGACAATAGGCCGATGCTTGGTCCAGGAGGCCGCACTCCGCAAGCCGCTGGGCATAGACGAACTTGAAGGGGATCAACGAGGGCTCCACTACAGCTGGGCCGACGTACTCCAACACCTCTGAAGCATGCAGCGCTCGAGGCTGCAGGATGCGGCTAAGCTTCGAGATATCCCTAGGGTCCACCAACAACATACTCATAAGGGCATTAGGGTCATCAACAGGGTCAAACATCTGCTTCGCTCCGCTAGCTAATTTGCCCAGAGTATAGCACACATCGGCCGCTGGCACCCTCCCTGCGTGCATAAGGGCATCTGCCAGTCTACGAAGGGCCACAACGGCTCGGTCAGTGGCGGCCATCCGGAGGCAGAGGACCGCTGCTAGTGGCCATAAGTCGAGGCTTTCCGCTACCACCTCGTCGTTCAGAGGGCCCTGCCCTGTGAAAGACTGTAGCAACAGCTGCAATATCGGCCGTGCTGGGCTCCCTCTGGCGTCGCTGTGAGCAGTCGCAATACCCCTCTCACCGAAAACTGACATAAAATGGCGAAATTTGTCCGACCCTTGCATCGAGGCCAAAGCCAATACAGAGGCCCAGTCAATATCCTCAGTCTCGCTCCTCACGAAGTCGTCCAACTTCCCTTCATCAGTCGCTGCCCAGCACAGCCTCACCAGAGAATCTGCCCCATCGTAGTATGCCCCAAGCAGGGAACTTTGGACTTTCTCCTGCCAGTTAGCAGAGCTGGTGTCCTCCCTCGCGAGGGCCGCCAGCAGCTTCCATAGGATCTCCTCGTCTCCACTACTACCGTGGAGCATCTCCTCACAGTACTGCTGCACCACAGCCTTCGGGGTAGACCTCGTGAAAGGGCCCGGATACGAACGGATTTCCTCAACAACCTCAGCTGGGAGGGGCTTACTCTCTACCCTTTCCCCCGACACCTCGAAAACGCTACCACCGAAGCCAAAGACCACCCCAGGCACAGAGGGGGCGGAGGGCTGAGACCTCTGCACTGTCGAGGGCTGCGTATCTTCAACTGCCGACGGTGCAGTCACAACCTCGCTCTCCTCCTTCGGACTGGCGGATGCCCCGGACGGCTCTTCCCTACTATGGACAAGGGAGCTGAAGCTGACCGCCGAGGGCCGATTACTGGCCACGAAGTCGATGGGGGAGGTGGAGTCTTCGAAGAGTGATGCCGCTGTAGGCACGCTGCTCGGAAGAGCCGGGTCCGGCGACGGCTTCTGGTAGTCTCCTCTAGAGGGCACTGACGGGCCCTCCGGTACTCTGCCGGCTGCCGCTGGTGATGAGTGTAGCTCTCCTACTACATTCGCCACGACTGCCGATGGCTGCTGCCTCTCTGCTTTCGATTCCCCCGCTACCAGTATTGATGGCTGCTCCTGCTCCTCTACCACCTCGGATTCCATCACTGATGACTGGGCTTCTACTTTGGCTGCCGATACTAAGGGCTCCTCCTCAACTCCACTCCCCGCTGCCGGTACCACGAACTCCTTCTCTAAAGCCGGCCTCGAGGGCTCCTCTACAACCTTGGTCCCCACTGCCGGTACCGAGGGCTCCTCTGCCTTGGTCCCCGCTGCCGGTGCCGATGGCTCCTCTGCCTTGGCCCCCGCCGGTACCGAGGGCTCCTCTGCCTTGGTCCCCGCTGCCGGTACCGAGGGCTCCTCTGCCTTGGTCCCCGCTGCCGGTACCGAGGGCTCCTCTGCCTTAGTCCCCGCTGCCGGTACCGAGGGCTCCTCCTCTACTTCGGTCCCCACTGCCGGTTTCGAAGGCTCCTTTGCTTTGGACCCCACTGGAGCCTCGACCAGATCAGCTGAGGGCGCCTGCTCCACCGAGCTGTGGCCACTATGATCTCCCGACTTCAGTTCTCTCAAGACCTCGACCTCCTCCACTCCATCATTATCGTCCCAAGGCACTGCGGGACGCTCCTCCGCCTCCTTCCGGTCACCCCCGGCCGGTATGAAGGAGGTCCAATCATCCTCCGAAAAGAGTGCCTTGGCATCTAGAGCTTGCCTCGGTTGATATTCACCCTCTCCAGGGGCAGAGGTAGTGGGCATGACTATACCCGACTGAGGGGACCCCAATGGCTTGTGCATGGCTTCGGGGAACGGGTTCACATACCTAGGGGAGGTTAAGCCCGGGCTCATCAGGGACCCTGATTCCGTCCTCGGTCGGGGTATGGTCCCGAAAGGGTCAGATGAGGCCTGCACTTCTTCAGGTATGTGCCGCTGGGATGGGTGCTTCATGTGACCACCAGTCTCAACTTGTAACTCTTTGCTGCCAACCTCCTTCTCGCTGGTGACACGGATCTCGGGCGGGAAGGGATTCACGTATCTCGACGCCGTGGCCCGTGGAGAGGGCACCTTCCCCGTCTGGGAGACTACCCCAAAAGGATTAGAACTAGCGTTGATCGCCTTGGGCGTTTTATGAGAGGACACATATCGGGATGGAGTACCACTGGACTGTACTTTCACTTCGCCGCTGGGCGTGGCCACGTTGGTGGCTTCAGTCGCCTGCTGCTCCCGAGTGGACTCATCTCCGCTATCAATAACCGACCGCAGCGCCTTCAATACCGAATCAGCTGCTGCCGATGCTTCACGCTTTTCCGTGGAGCTGATCTCGACAGTCTCAGAGGCCTGGGAGGACTTCTCATCACTACGGGCCGCATGCGAGACTTCTCCCACCGGTGGTGGAGGAGGAGGTGGTGGCGGGGGCGGATTCGTCTCGACACTTCCTTCCGCTGTACCATCACTACCGTGGCTGGACCCAAAAATGCCGGGGACGGAGCTTGAGCCAGGGGGTGAGAACAGCGAATCGGCCGTTTCCATTGCCTGTGGAGAAGCAGTCTTGGGCAGCGATATAGAGGCGGCCGAGTTTGATGCCTGAATTGAGTACACAATCAACACACCTAAGGGAGTTTTGCTCAGTACTTCTTTGGTATCTCCCTGAGATCTGCTACTCTCACCAGCCTTCCGTGGATCCGGCCGAGGCTTCGAAAAAAGACCACCACCGATACGTGGTGGTTGGGATGACATTTTACAACGATAAAATCGCTGAGTGATGAAGGAAATCAGAGAGGGAAGAGACATGCACCACTCACGAGCTCACTAAGGCTGGCTAGTGCCTGGAGAGAAGCCCCCTCTGGCACACAGATGATTGCCTTGTCGGTTGTTCAAAATTACCCTTTGGTGTGATACGTTAGCTGGTGGTAAGGAGTAAGGCCGTTGATAGAAGTGCTTCAAGGTACGGTGATGCTAGGGTAGCCGCCGCCGAGGGCAAGCGTCGCGGCTTATCGTTGAGGAACAGCAAGATTGCAAGATTTCATTCTTAGTCATAGAACATTTATGGCGTACGCTAGGGGTTTCGACTAGGACTCTAGCTCCTGTAAGTAGCGAGGGAAGTCATTACAATATCGAGCGTTCTGATGATCATTGAATGTGCTTTGTGCTGCTAGTCCTATTGGATGGCAGTTTATGTGCTATCTGCCTGCTTGGTGCCATAGCCTATTACGGGAATACGTCCTGACCGTGTGGTATCCTTTGGAAAGCATCGGTAATTGGCGCTGTCCTATCAATGAGTATCTTCATTTTAAGCTCATCGTCGTGCTGAAGAGGTTAGCCAGCGTGGGGACGAGGAAAAGGCCTGATGGAGGACCTATTCGTTGTTGATCGCAGTGCTTGTGCCCTTCCGCCAACTACGCTAATGCGATTAGGGAAAATACCTCCCAAGAGAGAGATTTGCTCAACGTTGGTGTGGACGGAGTACCGTCATGCACACGAGAGCTCCTGGCAGTCCTCGCTCGCCCAGCAGTTTCGGTCGCGCTTTCGATGTGGTGGTGTGATCGCAAGTAGCTTTCTTCGCGCTCGATTTCTCTAGTGATCTATTGATGTTGAGAATTTGAGAGTACACTCACTCAGGAGCGTACCACCGTGTGAGACTGGCATAAATTGGTCCTTGGCGTATGGATAGAAGTCGGAAACTAGTGTCTACTTGTAGTGCCAGCCTTGCAGGAACTGTACTGAGAAGTTTTAGTGCTGGCGTATTCCTGTTTGCCGCCTTTCAGTGCTAAAGCCCTGCATAAATTGACGCCGTGTACTGTATTTCATCGTCGCTGGGGGTTTTCGAGCAGCCTGAGTTTTAACGACACTGATTACGACGTATTTGCTGTGTACTCAGCCATGAGGTTTACCAGCATGTTCTCTCAGTCTATCTCGTAGCCGTGTTCGAAGTGTCCTCACTAGTTCAGTATGATCCTCCTCTAGCTTGTCCAGTTTTAACTACCGACCGGTAGAATATAATGTCATCTACTCGAGTTGTCAGTACCTCCGAGGTCATGTCGCCATATGAAGAACGCCGAGCAGAAAGTGATGAATGGGCGACACTGAAGTCCGGCGCAGCCGAAGTCCCGAAGGAGGACGTCGCTGGCTTAGATTCTTCCCACAGCGACTCTTCATCGAAGGTAGGATGGCGTATGCCCTTATTGGATTCGGTATTGTATGGTTGTGCTCAGGAGGAGGCCAAGACGAAGCCTTTGTGCGATCACTTCAAACGAGGGAAGTGTCGATTGGAGAACTCATGCAGGTATGATTACGTTTTAGTTGATTTATGGGGGGCGAGTTGGTCACTTCAGGTTCGCACACAGTTTGAAAGAGCACAGTGATCCCAGTCTGATCGCTAAACGGCGTGCTGAGGCTAAAGCCCAGCAAAAGTTGCTCAAGTTGCGCAAGAGGGAGGCGGAGAAGAGCGCCGCTCAGCTGACCTCTGCCGGGGATACCGACGTAAGAGTATTGATATCGATGTCTAGTAGTAGACACATACTGGATTTTAGAGTCTCTCATCGTGCTCGCCGCCGGGAAGCCCGCGGTACTGCTCATTTTCCCGTAATGGTGTTAGCCCCCAGTTGCCATCGTATGGTCTGCCTAAGCGAGCATCGACCGGTTCCTTGCCCTCCATGGCAGTGGTAAGTCGATATGTGAAAGGATTATATGACTGTCTCGCTTGTCGCTCAGTCCTATTCGAATTGCTATGCGCCGTATCCGGTGTACTACGGTCCACTCTGTTACCCTTCCCCTTGTTACGTCAACACTCCCGGTGCTTACTACGTTGTTCAGCAGCCTCGGTGGGAGGTAGCAGGCTTCAGCGTAGCGTGGCGAATATGATCTTACTGTCCCCTTTTCTCAGCCGCAGTCACCGTGTTACGCTGCCACTCCCGAGTACTATGTCCGCCCGCAGCAGCAAAACGTGGCGGCGCCTACCGGGCCACTCGTGAGGAGATCGGCCTCTTGCTCGATGGTGAGTTGGAAAGTGAGATGTGTGGTTTTGCTCTACCGCCTTCACGCAGGTACAAACCCCGACTTTCCACGAGCCTAGAATGTACCTGGAAGAGGAGCACTACGAGGACTAGAGTTCTCTGCCGTGGCCCGTTTCTCTTATCTATGCCCTTATCGATTTTCCTTGTTGCTTATGCGGTTTTGCCACGAAAGACATCTCATTCATCATATCCACTGTTCTGTAAATTTTTGGCAATGCAGGCTCCTGCCGCGTTTGCTCAGGTCTCCGTTGTCGCCACCGTTCACTATGTGTCATTTGGCTATGTTGAACTGCTGGTGACGATTGCGATGGCCTTGTGTGCTTTTCAAGCACTCGTGTAATTGTTCTCATAGAGTGTGATGGATGCCAAGCTTCGATTCGTTTCGATCGTCGTAACCAGAGGCACATTATTTCATTCTTATATAGTTCTACTAAACGTTCTGTGGTTTCCTGATGCTCCCCTGATGACGCCTGCATCGACTACTCCTATCTGGATATGGCATCACGCAGCATCGATGACGTGAGGGTGAGCGTATGCTCCCCTCCGTCAATGTCTGCTCGCGACACCTTATGGGATCCTCTCTAATCAAATGCCGTACGATATGGTCAAGCGACGTGGCCCTCTAGTTCGTAAAGAACTTTGCTTGGGTATTACTCGTTGATCACTGTCTTGTCTAGGTTTGTTAACTGTATACATTTGGTGCTCATGTAAGGTCGAGGTATGTTTCTTCGGTTCTCTGCTCGAAGCTACGTACTTGTTTCTCTTGTTCTCAAGGTGGCATGAGCGTTCTTCTCTCGTTCACATTGTGTGTACTTTAGGACAGTCAGATCGAATAATGGCTACTAAATTTTGATTCACTGTCAGATTGCTCGCCATCGTTTCTCTCTGGCACGCGACTCTCTTCCTACTGTGATGTTGAGTACCTTACTCGTTCCACAAGTTTCTCACCCCGAGGTACAGGTCGCTGCGTTGTCAATTCGCCTGACTAGTTGGAGCGATGCTTTTGTTGATGTTCAGCGTGATGCCTGCTCGAGATGATGGAATTAACAATGCAAGCCTTACGCTGATGGCACAGATGCCAGGTCTGAGCCTGATCGTGGCCGTTTCTGAATTATTGTGCGTATAATAGGGACCGGTGTACGCGAGGGTGTCGCTGTGTAGACTAAAGGTTATTGCGTTGGTCAATTTGATCGATTCAATCAGGTATTCGGGCGCTGAACTTGAGCAGTTGTCATTCGCTTATCAGATTTACACTCATATCCATCAATATCGATGGTACTAATTACTGCCGTATCTTCAGCTGCGGCTACGAACAACAATGTTGAACGAGTACGCAAAGTGCCGGCAACCAACTCATCAAAGATATGCAACTCATCAAAGATATGCAAGGCCGAAGGATGCTTACGGCGGGTGGCTCGACATTGTATCTCACAATTTCGTTTCAACTTCCGAGTAGGTTCGTTCTGGAGGAAGTTACTGCATCAGTCACGGAGGAGGGAACACTTGTGAGGTGAGCTCGAGCGTCGCAGCTGAGTATCATCTTGCTCCACGCAAGATGCTCCCTTACTTAGCATCCGGCGTGTTCCACTTCCGCCCGTCATGGGAGCATGTTTTGTATTGCACACGGCGGTGGTCGGAGATGTCGACAACCCGGCTGCACTAAAAGTGCAGTGGGCTCCACCAAGTTCTGCAAGGCCCACGGTGGAGGCAGACGATGCTGCTTTCCAGGGTGTTTCTGTGCTGCACGCCCCGGACAACCGCAGATGTGTATGAAGCACGGAGGCGGCAAGCGATGCGCTCTTGGAAGTACGTGCCAATAATTACTGGCAAATTCAGGATAGCTCGCTGTTCACTGTAACAAGCAGTCTTGTCTTTCTCCTCTTAGCATGTCGGCGGAGTACCGTAAGTCGCAGTAATTTCTGCGGCGAACATCGACTCATCGATGGTGATTCGGACGAGAAGAATAAGCCCGGTCAGACAGGGCAAGCCGAAGATGTACGGAAGAAAGGCAATATCATCGGCACGGACAAAAGCTCCCAGGATTTGCCGCGAGCGAGTACGAAGCCTAGATTCACTGCGACCGAATTGACTGTGCCGCCTCTGAATACTTCTCTGGAGGATTTTCGTAATGCCGAAGACCTCAGACCTCCTTTGCTATTCACGATCGACGAGTCAGACATGATGTCATGCGATACATCCGATGATGAGGATGCATGCGATAAGTAAGACCTCATCTGCATTTGAGATGCAACGCCCGCTCGCTCTGTCCGGTATAGCAATTATAGTATCGGGCTTCTCTGTCTGTCAGGATTTCTCACGAGGGGGCCAGCATGTCATCGACCCTATCGCCAAGTTCATTCACAATGGGATATGAATAATTTGACGACCATTATGACATAGCCTTGGCCGCGCGTGAATATGATTGTACTTCACGAATGCATGCTATCATGCTGTTATGCATGACGTTGTGATGCGCTACGAGATTCTTTCTATTGGTTTGTGTTGCAAGTATGCTGTGAGCACTTGCAAAACAACCTGATGTCCAAAGAACATTGTTAATAACGAAATGAAAAGTTTGATGTAAGCTGCATCATATAATCGAAGCTCGAGGCGAAACAGAATAAGTCCCCGCTGATTCGTCAGCTGTTGCTCACTTGAGCGGCTGGCCGAGTTTCGAGCGCATACCCTGGGGAGAGATCCCTGACAGGAATCTCCTGCCGAAAGTGACGAGAATATGCTGATGTAAAAGAGGTGTTGATTTGACATGCACTATTTCCTCTTTTGACGAGGAAGCATGATTGATTGTTGTGGACACGCACACATATGACAGAAAAGTGACGGGTTTGGTTGTCAATTAGAGGAATCGTGGTGATGAGTCGCCATTGATGACGTGATATGGCCCATATCATATGGGTAAGATGATCTCACTGGGATCGGATGTTGGCCGTCGCATTAATTAGGTCGGTTGATTCTTACATGCTAGAAAGTATACATATTAATCCGCTCTCAGGGTTCTTCGACATATGTCACAAATGACCAGTTTCACGAGCAACAATCTGGCGTACAGCAACTCCGGGCGCGTTTCTCTCGGCATAACGTGTATTATGCCTGGTTGCGAGAGGCGCATCCGTAGCGGTTCGTACTTCTGCATCAACCACGGTGGAGGTCTGAGATGTATGCTTCCCGGGTGCACGAGCTCCGCTCGCGACGGCTCCATTCATTGCATCAAGCATGGAGGTGGTCGTCGTTGTGTCGCTGCCAACTGCAGCAAGGGTGCAGTTGGTAAGACAGATTTCTGCAAGAGCCACGGAGGCGGGCGTCGCTGTTTACACCCCAATTGTGCGGCTCCAGCTAGATCCGGAGGAGAGGTACAAATGTGTCAGAGGCACGGAGGTGGGAAGAGATGCAAGGAGATGGGATGTGAGAGGGTGGTGGCTGCGCGAAGTGACCACTGCAAGCAACATCGGGAGCTTGCTCTACGGTCTGCCGATTCGCACGGGAGTTGCGAGCCTGGTCTCGTCGATGAAAGATGGGCAGAAACTACGTGGTCGGCTCTCAACGCTCCAAGTCGTGAAGAACCTGAAGAATCGGTGCAGGACGACGATACGGTGATACTGTACATACCGTGGGATTAGCTATGCAGTTGTGGCTATTGCTAGTAATTCGCTTAATGGCGCCTGTAGTATTATAGAACGATGTATTGAGTGATACTATCGGGAAAACGATTCCTGTTGCGTTGCAAGTACGTTGAACATAGTATGTTCTGTTGTAAAATTTTCGCTGGATATACTGGTAACATCGAGCCGCGGCTCGTCCCTCTGTACTCCACAGGAACTTCCTGTCAGCTTCCCGAGCTCCCTGTCAGGAAGCCCAGCCCCAGAGGGGCTTGACGAACATGAACAAAATACTTTGTAAGACCAAATGTCAATTGAGGACCGAACGCAACCCGCAGCACATGTTAGTCTGGAGATTTTCATGACAACTCGAAAGCGGGTTGAGACCGACATGATCCCATGTAACTTCGAGGGATAAGAGCCCAGCGTGGCGGCAGGAACCCTCATCATAGCTAGTCCTCATCCGAAGAGTTTTCAAAAACCTCGATCTTTCTCCATCGTCCCGCTGGAGTGGTACTGTTCTGGATTGCCTAACAATTACGCACGTTCCTCGATAGAGCGTTGAGCGGCTCGATTCAAGCCTATCTCCGCTGGATGACCCCAAATTGGTTGTTCGGGCGGCCATCCGGTAATGGGTCAGACTCATTTGATCCACGCGAAACGGTATGTAGTCCGCAACGCAAGAAACGGCACCTTTCCTTCCTTCTCGTCTTCAGTATCCGAATCCTCATCGATTATAGAAATATGCCTGAATTCGCTAGACTTTTCCTCGACCTGGTTATTATGTGGCCTGAGGTGGAACAACACTAGTCGTCTGAGAGCCAAATGATTTGGCCGCCAAATCATCAATTTTCGCAGAGACCTAACATTGACTGTGCATTGGAAATTCCAATTCGGAGTATCGCCATCAGAACAATACAATGTCGGCCGGGGAAACCCGTTCCTTACACAACTGGTGATTCATCGAAAATCTCCTGTATTTTTGGCGCCTCGATCTCTTCTTTGACTTGAGCGCGTTGCTTGTAAATTAGCTTTCGTCTGGCAGTAGCAAGGTCAGCATTGACTCTGCCAATCATTCCCTGCTCTGCGCCACTATCGTTGAGTATCCTGAACCCACAATGACCCCAAACTCGTTCCCGTCTACCGAGGACAGCAAGCGTTTCATCATTGGCTCACTTGAGAGCTGTCTGAAAGTCTTTCACTGCTTCCTCGAGGTAATCCAACTCCGCGCGAGCTTTACCACGTCGATGAAAGGCCTAAGTCCGAGGGAACTCAGGCACCGTATCACACGCGAGGCGAACCGTGTCCTAGCCACACCTTCACATTCTTAGGATCCAACGCGATGGCTCTCTGAGCATCCTCTAGCCCTTCTCGAGGGCGGCGAAGCTTTAGCCGCACCAAGGCTCTATTGGACCATAGTACTGATACATCCGAGCGGAGACGGAGGGCCCTCGTATAATGCAACTGGATGACAACGGGATCGAATGCCGTCCAGCCAGTCCACATAACTCACCTCTGCTTCATCCAAGTCTCCCGAGGCGAAGCTCTCATTGCCTTTTATTTTCTCAGCCTCACACATGTCGTGCCTTTCTGCTGCCGACATAGCCTCAACTCGTTCGGAAGACAAACTCTGGTCGATTGCCAATGGAGCCTCTGCAGGTGCTACGCTGAAATGGAGCTGCAGTGCCTCCACGAGATACTCTGCCCAAATATTCTTTCCAAAGGGTCGCATCAATCGTCTCATGCCATGCTATCGGAGCGACTCATCCAACTATGATAAACGATGATCTGGATTACCTCTCCTCCGTGTTGGTTACCTTAACGTCCACAGCATCGCACGCAGCTTCGACATCGAACCTGACCATTTTCAATCCCATCCCTTCCGCACTCTACATCTGACCTATCCCAGGCTCTGTAATAGTCCTTCATGGCCGTCATATCTCGTGCGTAGGGGTTTCTCGGTTCACCATCCCCGCTTCTCATGTCGACACTGTCTCCAGCAGTCATCTCAGCGGATATCGAGTCGCCCTCATCGCAGGAACGCACCTCCCTAATCGGGCATGCCTTTCTAGTACCCACTGAATCTGAACCGAGCTGAATACGCTGATCAGCCAACTTGCGAGAGGCGACCTCCTGGGATCTGCTCGTTCCTATCACGCGCTTCCTTATCGATAGATTTTAACTCTTCCTCCCACATCAACACGGTAGAGTTAGCGGCAGCAGCTTCTTCCGCGGAGGCTTTTACTGAGTTTGGATAGAGCCTGCACTAGTATTGTCAACAGTCCGAACCGTTGTAGCACAAGGAATAGGGGCGATAACTGGACGTAAACTCTCATTATTATAGAGCAACAATACTAGATCAACACCGAGATCCTCGGCATAAGACTCGTATGAAAGTATGGAGGTAGCGACCAGTCGAAAAGTCGTAGCACGGTGAAGAAAAGACTAGATAAAGGTAAGACCCGAGTCGAAGATTAGTGCAGACCATCGCACTTATAGTAAGCTTTCTTGTCGATCCTCAACAGCTTCTCTTTGGCTTTTGCGAGCAGTTCTCTGTAATAACCACCATCCGCCTCTAGAAGGGTTATATAGCGACCCAGCTTGGCAGCGGATGTACACTTGTCGACTGCCTAACAAGAATATCCACATCAAACCTCAACTGTAGATTGCGCACGACTCGTAGGCTAGGAGCGTATGACCTCAAAGTCGATCTCTTCCAACTTGATGTCTGCAAGATTCTCCCTCGACTGCCCTAAGCCTTCTAGAGAGGTTGCCGTCATGAAAGGGACACAAACAAACGATTAAGACCTGCAGAAGCCAAATCGCTCTTTGAGACCCTCTCGTGATCAAACGCCGAGGATCGAAATCAGATGGAATCAATGCTAGCTTGTTCTGCCGACTGTTGAGAAGTGCAATCACGAGCGGCAGATCGACCTCACTCGAGTCTGATCCATCGTCATGTGACTCACTATGACGCAATGCAACGGTATAATTAGATTAAATCCGCTTTAAGCGATAAGACTATGGAGGAGGCATTCATGACAAAGTCCCGATGGAGTTGATAGCAAAGGGTTGAGACTGAGACCGTAACAACAACAGTGGGGATGAAATCTTGTAGCACTAGTAGTGGCTCACGTAAGCACTATTCCAGAACTCCAAACGTGTCCGCTGGAGTCGGCATATTATCAAATTCGTCGTCCTCCTCCAGGCTAGTCATCTCGACCGCCGCCTTCCTACCCAAACAATAGATCATATTCCACAGCTGAGAGCAATCCCTCACCATGAAGTGCTCTCAGCAAGAAGAGAGCTCACACCACCCAGAGGCGCCTGGCATGTCCTCCCTGAGGCCGATATTCGACCTGTGAAGATCAATGCCACGTATGAAGGCCACCCTCGACTGTTACCAGCACCATCTTCTACACGCCCGAACTCCTTGGCGGCCGATACCATTTCTTTTAGAGCTGAGGTATCATGTCATTCGATTGCTGCAGCTGCTGTCACTGACATACCATTCGTCGCCCCCTGCAGAGTCTTTAACTCTCCAATCAACGCTAGCCTCTCTTCGTTGATCTTTCGAACGCGCTCGAGCTCTTCCACGACTGCTTCTCGCTCCTATAGGTTAGTCTGCTCCTCGGCCTCATCAATACCGCTCACCTTCTCCGTCGCTATCGCCTTGTCTTTCCAGCTCTCTACTTCCGCCTAAAGAGAGCGTCGATCCCCGATGCCCGACCATGAAGTAGTATCACCCTCAAAGCCGCGATACGATCAAGGTCCGCTGACCGTGAGCCGACTGCAACTAAGATGATGGGATAGTTAACCCGATCCTCCTGGAGAGAACCTCCTCTGCGAGGCTCACCTGCCTCTCCAAACCGCCGAGGCTTCGGCACTCTACCGCCCGGTAGATTCGAAGGTCTTCCCACCTCAGCTGCTCCCGAGCCAATGGTACTCGAGAGGCGCAACCTTTTGAGATGTTTGACCGGCTGCTTCGAAACCGACGCACGTGTCGATGGCCCGCCTTGCAGTTTCCGCTTCTAAAACAGTCCGCCTAACTCCTATCATCCGCTACTCCTCTCACTCGGCCTCCAGCAGCAGTAGTAGTGCCTTCTATCTCAGCTTGTTGCTCACAGATGATTCTCAGCGCACTGAGGACCCCTTTTTTGCGACAAGTTTTGGTCCGCGTACACCCTTGAGGGGAGTATTAGAACCTGCAAGTGCTTTGAGGTAGGCCATTCAGGATGGCAGTTCTACCATTTATTCAGGGTCTTCTGATACATGATACCGAATCGCTCCTTCACTGCCTGACGGAAATTCCAATCCTTGGCGACGCTCTCAGGCTCGGAAATCTTCGGATTACGACGCAAGTGATCCTAATAAGAGTTTTTCAAGATCTCCCATCACCCTCCCCACCTGAATAAGTTCCTCCATAAGCTGCAGCCGTTGGTTTCCCTTCTCCCTCGGATTCGAGCGGTGAACCTTTACCGACAGCACACGTAAATTTCCCGTCTATGGTGTAATACACTAGCCTCACGATGCGCTTTTTGACAGCGATTGCCGCCTCTCCGTTGTCGCTACTCGCTTTCTTCTTCCGACAGACTACTCTGAGCTTATCGAGAACATCCAGCTTACCGCACTTCTTTCCTCTTCTAGTTTTATTATAGAGCTTGAAGTACCTATGATGGTCACAACCGGACAGTCCTGAAAACATCCTACTCGTACACTACCATATCATCGACGCTTTGTCGTAATAAATCCCGAGGTTAACTCTGACCGCATCACGGAATTCCCAGTCCTTAGCTACCCCAGCCGTCTCGGCGATTCTCGGATTCCGACGAAGATGCTCCTGAGCAAACTATTGGAAGCAGCCACCCCACTGAATACTCTCACTCGAATCAGCTCCTCCGCGCGCTGCATGATACCCTCGGCCTCACACATAGTAACACTTCGAGGAACAATCCTTCGAAATACTGCATTCCGCGGTAGTAACAACTCAGAGCAGTAGAGAAATCGTAGAAACACCATCGATTCCATCGGCACCGCAGCATCGGAGGCGGCCGTCGCTGTTTACACCCCAATTGTGCGGCTCCAGCTAGATCCGGAGGAGAAGTACAAATGTGTCAGAGGCACGGAGGTGGGAAGAGATGCAAGGAGATGGGATGTGAGAGGGTGGTGGCTGCGCGAAGTGACCACTGTAAGCAACATCGGGAGCTTGCTCTACGGTCTGCCGATTCGCACGGGAGTTGAGAGCCTGGTCTCGTCGATGAAAGGTGGGCAGAAACTACGTGGTCGGCTCTCAACGCTCCAATTCGTGAAGAACCCCAAGAATCGGTCTAGGACGGCGGTACGGTAATACTGTACGTATCGTGGGATTAGCTATGTAGTTATAGCTATTGCTAGTAATTCGCTGAATGGCGCCCGGGAGACCCAGGTTAGAGATAAGTGCAGCCAATCCTACTCATGCTAGGCCTTCTTGTCGGTCCCCAGCAGCTTCTCTCTGGTCTTTCCGAGCAGTTCTCTAGACAACCACCGTCCGCCTCTAAAAGATTTATATGGGGCCCAGCTTGGCAGCGGATGTACTCTTATCGACTGCCTGACCAGAATACTACATCGAGCCTCAGCTAAAATCTAAGACTTCAGCTGAGGCTTACCTAGAAACTGCCTAGGATCCATACGCTACTAGCGTGTGACCTCAAAGTCGATCTTTTCCAACTTGATGTCTGCAAGATTCTCCCTCGACTGCCCTAAACCTTCTAGAGAGGTTGCCGTCATGAAAGGGGGCATTAACAAAAGATTAAGACCTGCAGTGCAGAGGCAAAATCGCCATACTCTCTAGCTCAGTGATCCTGCATTTCAAAGTCAGTTTGCTGGAGCATAGAGGTTACTCGAGAGCCGACACAAAGTCCTGGCGACCGAGGCCAAGTAGGAGCATCGCTAGCTCATTCTGTCGAACTCTTCATGTGACTCACTATGACGCAATACAATGATACGAAACTGCTAAGATTAAATCCGCTTCAAGCGATAAGACTCTTAGGAAGAAACATTCATCACAAAGTCCCAATGGAGTTGATAGCGAATGGTTGAGACTGAGACCGTAACAGCAACAGTGGGGATATCTTGTAGGACTTGTAGTGGCTCACGTAAGCATCATTCCAGAACTCCGAACGTGTCCGCTGGAGTCGGCATATTATCGTATTCGTCGTCCCCTTCCAGGTTGATTATCTCGACCGTCCCCTCCCTACCCAAACAATAGATTATATCCCACAGCTGAGAGCAATCCCTCACCATGAAGTGCTCTCAGCAAGAAGAGAGCTCACCCCTCGCGGAGGCACCTTGCATGTCCTCTCTGAGGCCGAGAGTCGACCTGTGAAGATCAATGCCACGTATGAAGACCACCCTCGACTGTTACCAGCACCATCTTCTACACGCCCGAACTCCTTAGCGGCCGATACCATTTCTTTTAGAGCTGAAGTATTATGTCATTCGATCGATGCTCTTTCTGTCACTGACATACCATTTGTCACCCCCTGCAGAGTCTTCAACTCTCCCCTCAACGTTAGCTTCTCTTCGTTATCCTTTCGAACGCGTTCGAGCTCTTCCACGGCTGCTTCCCGCTCCTATAGGTTAGTCTACCCCTCGGCCTCATCAATACCGCTTACCTTCTCCATCGCTCTCGCCTTGTCTTTCCAGTTCTCTACTTCCGCCTAAAGAGAGCGTCGATCTCCGATGCCCGACCGTGAGGTTGTATCACCCTTAAAACCGCGGTACGATCAAGGTCCGCTGACCGTGAGTCGACTGCAACTAACATGATAGGATAGTTAACCCGATCCTCCTCTACGAGACTCACCTCCCTCTTCAAA